GCTTTACATGGAACATTTGATTATTAATCTTATATATGTGATTCTTTCTTATATAAAAAATGCAATTCAAATAGTTTTATTGGTTTTTAATATATTTATAAATGATTCAATATCTGGTGTTAAAAACAAGAGTCTCCCTGTTTCATAGGCCTTACATTCAAATAAAAAATGTTTCTCATCTTCAACTTTGTTTAATTTGCAAACATGGCACAGTCTTTCTTGTATTGGTATTTTTCTTGGTTGTCTCTATTGCTAGCGGTAGGATGCCACTCCTCAATTGTGCTATCAGTGAACGTTGTGACAGTGTTAGTTGACACTTGACATAAATCTCAGGTGTAGGTTCACTTTTGAATGTGACATATGTACACAATTTATCCTGTGAAGTAACATCCCTTTTCCATTTTTCTGTGTGGTTCAAAATAAGACTTGATTTAGCTGTAGCCAGTCTGATATAGTCCAGTGTTTCAAATTTTTGAGATTAATTAAGTTCGAAACAAATATTTTTGATGTCTCAGCTATTAAAGAGCATTCACTTCTTGTCAATGATGATGTAAGTAAGTATTGTTCTATTGGAAAGTAATGTTTAAAAGTCAGGTAAATCCTCAATTGGGGTTGTGATACTGTATGTGAACACTATAAGCATGGCACACTGTCTAATGACACTTTGAAGAGTAGCCGGCCATTTTGCAAATTGGCCACCATTTTTATGTGTCTCATTTTACGTTTTTTACTATAATTTAAAAAGTAATAGAGTGATTTTGTTTATATGTGAATACTCATAACCATGGCACACTTATTACACGTTGGCTAGTAGGCTGTCATTTTGAAAATGACTGCCATTTTTAAATGTGTTATATTATTATGTTTTTTACTGCTCAAAAAGTAATAGAGCAATTTTGTTCATACATGTATTTGATATGTGAATACTCTAAAGCATGGCACACTGTTTTATGACACTTTGACTCGTAGGCAGCCATTTTTCAGATTTTTATATGTGCCTACATAGAAGCATATTATACTTACTTATCAGACAATTTGGCTAGTGAGCGACCATTTTGAAAATGGTGGCCATTTTATGTTTGTTATTTTACAATTTTTCCTTTAACTGAAAAAGTAGTTGAAGGATTTTGTAAAAAACGCAGCCGTGGTTGTTCGATGGGATTTGCTTTGCTTTGTCATTGCTGTTGTCTAGTTGCCAAACTTCGTACAGTTTTCTCAATATGAAGAAACACATCAAGTGGAAAGTTCATATTGATTCCTAAAAATACTCTTATGATTTAGTTTTTCAATCTGCATGGGTGCTTTACTTTTTCATTTGTACCTTACCTGAATAGACTTGTTCTACATTAATAGGACAGGTTTTCCTCCCCCACCGCACATATGTAGCACCCCCTGTTCCAGAAGGGCTACTGCCGATAGGCCCTGGTGATCCCTGGGTACCTTGTACATCAGTAGATCCATTTATGCAATAGTTAGTATGAAATGCATCCACAAGGTTGCTTATATCATCCGCTGATAACCCCTGACCTGTCAATCCCTGAAATAAAAGCATTCAAATCTTACATATAAATATCAAAATTGAATTGAAAGTCTCAAATTATAACTATAATTTGATCAATTATTTCTGCGTGTAGACTGTTCTTAACAGTAGCACTCACATCTCTTCCCGGACTTCCATCCCTTCATGGACTTCCATCTCTGCCCGCTGGTCCAGGTGGTCCTTGTTGTCCTGGTGGTCCTTGTGGTCCTACCATGCCATCTCTTCCACCTCGTCCATAGATACATCCACCTTGAATTTAATAGCAGTGAGAATAAATATAAATGGTCTGTGCATAGGTCAAAACTCACATCTCTTCCATCTCTACTTGCTGGTCCAGGTGGACCTTGTTGTCCAGGTGGTCCTTGTGGTCCTACCATGCCATCTCTACCATCTCGTCCACATATATTTCCACCTCAAATACAGTTGATATTAAATTTAAGATACTTTTTGTGTTCAAAGCAATGAATCACTGAATCGTTTATACATTTCCATCAAAAGTAACTCAAACAGGGTGTTCAAGTGTCTCCCAAATTCACTTTAGCTTGATCAAAAGTCAATGATGTCTTGCAAATTATTCACAATTTCCAAGGAAAAGTTAGTTGAAGGTCACCTCTTTTTGTAAAAATTATCTGTCCTAATATGTAACTTCATTGCCAAGAACATACCAGAGATGGATTGTTCTTTACTATCGATAACCCAGAAAGCATTCTTTGAAATAAAAAGTAATATATAAGCTAAACCAATCAATAGAGATTAAAAAAAACTTAGGGCCCCTAGTAATTATGAACTTGTATCATAAAGGTTTATGAAATGAACATGATTTCAACTATAAAAAGGGATAATTGTGTTTAACTTGTAAAACTGATAGTTCAAAGTTGCCAATATCTTGAAACTTACTTGTAGATGTACTTGCAGCTTGACGTTTTCCACGGCTTAAATGTATGATTCTATCAGGAATTCTATCTCTATTATCAGAAGAATGTCATTGCTTTAAAAAATAATATATTTATTCTGTAGTCTTTCATTTTTACACTGGTGATATTGAAAATTTATTAAATCGCAAATTCATTTTAGCTATAGGTAACATCCAATAAAATGCCCATTTCAAATTGAACATCATACATACAGTTTTCAATAACGCCGTCCCATAGGCTGTTCCCATTGCCAAAGAAGTGGCAAGCTGAATCTAAAAAAACAGGGTGAAAACGTCCTACATACATACCTGCTTTTCTAGAGCATTTATACGGGTTTTCAAGTTCTCCATTTCATCCCTCACTTTCAGTATTTCTTCCTTTTCCTGAATCAGCTCATAGTAAAATGTAATGGAGCAAGCGAGTGATATAGCGGCAACCCCCGTTGTGAAAAACATCACAATTGATTGCAAACACATTCTATCTTTATTCTCCATTTTCACTCGGACATGCAATATGTTTATGATTCACAAAATCTTTGTTTGAATAATATCAAATTCATGTTGTCAAAAGTAAAGAGTGTCACAAAAGGACAGTTGTATGAACTTTCGTGTTATATTTTTGCGCAATTAGAAAGAGGTGCGATATTAAGACTTGATGATATTACAGTTTTGCATTCCAACTTTGAACTATTGGTACTGAAATATATATCCAGTGAATGCCATGCTGTTTTGGGATATTTGAAGCCTATTTAAAAGTGGTCAACTGATAAATGATATAAAATTTACCACTTCTTTTCCCTAATTACAGAAAAATTCTTATAACTGGCCAGAAATATAGTAAGTTAGTTATACATTCTAAAAGCCGATACTCCCCAGACAAAACACATTCCCATGGAAATGATAGTGCATATCAAATTCCTGACCCTTCCTCCATTAAAGGTCTAACACAAACCTTTAAGTTCACTTATCTGAACAATCCATCAAATATATGATACAATTCAGAAACAATCTTTCTCCTGTATCACCCTGTAGCAACTACATCATTGACTATTATATAGTTAATGTAAATGAACATTATTGCTGTAATTGTTAATGTTTGACTTCATCCACTGTTCAAACATAACATTATTTTAGTTTATTAACGCTTTGAATAGAGTAATTTTCCCACTGAAAAAAGTTTGAGAGGGATATAGCTAAGCCATCTATTTGTCCATTTGTCTGTCCGTTCATATATCTGACTGGTCGATTTGGTTTAAATTTTACATGCTGATGTCATAGTGATATAGGACCTCTGGTCAAGAAGACATTATCAAGATGCCCACTATATTCAAAATGGCTGACACATATTTTTTCATTAAAGTATCAATTAACTGAATTGCCCCATAGTTTTAGGCTAATCATTTGGTAATTTGATTTCTCTTTGAGCAGGAATTCTATTCAAAATGGCTGTCATTTTTCAAAAACATTACCTTTGATCACTAAAATACCAATTATTGGATTTGATTAAGGTTTTATATGTGGTTGCCTAATGGGTATAGAACTTAACTAAAAAGGGGATTTCAAATTGCTGTTTAATCCAAAATAGCTGCCTTTTTAGGAAGGAATTTTTATCTAAAAACTCAAATATCTTATTTGGGGATAAGACCTCTACTCTAGAAAGAAAGAATTTTTAACATGATTTCATTGATAGATTTGCAAAAAGGACAGGATGCTTCTGCCCCATTATATTTTACATGAAATAACAAAGAGGAGTGATAAAATATGTCTATAGGTTGGTGGAATTACCTACTCTGGGGAGTTGCTATTTTTCTCATTCATAGTTATCCAGTTTCAATTATATAAAACACAATTGTCTAGTTCATGACTATAATTCTAATATACTGGTAAAATAACAATATTTCTATCCCCATTGAAGTGATTAACAAAGCTTCCAATAAGCATTTAAATATTACAGGTGCAACTAATGATAGAGACACATTGAGGTCACAATATACAATACTGCTGCTCACAGCAATAATCATTTTTTTGTCTTTTAAACATGAAAATGCTTCCATTTTTATGCTGATTAGCAATAATTTTGAAAATATGGTAGGCCTCCTCAATATCAATGAATTTGGACATTTTTGCATCTTAGTTGGTTGGTAAACTTGGGATGTCCTGACTTGGGAATGATGCCATAGAATTGTTTCATGGATCTCATTCTAAAACAACACAACATATCTTAAAATTCACAAGCCACAGATTATTCATTGTAAAGTAATAAACTACAGTAAATAGTGATTTCATTGATACACAATATTAAGCCATGGTTCATTTTAAAAGAAATTAAAAATGTGAAGTATTTCAAGTGTAGGCATTTCTAAACCTCCAAAAGTTAATAGAAAATTAATAATCCTATTAAATCATCATCTCCTTAGTTTTATTATTTAACACATCCACAAATCAATCAGTTTGAGACTCATATGATAAATGTTGCATTCTGTAACGAATTAGTGGGACCTCATGTATCACACTTTATGCGAATACTTGTCTTATGGTGTCTAATATCTATTTAGTACATACAGCACAGGTGAGCTCGAAACCATGTTGGTAATTTGGGCAAGGTAGAGCATGAGCACAATAGGCTTCAACTACATAAAGTAAACCCCCATTCTTGTCTTCATGACCTCCTTCATCTGCTTCAGGAGCTTCATCAACACAAATAAAGTCAGATTTTGTATTCTTATGACGCTCACTCATAAGATAGCCATTGTATTCTTTTGTCCAGGTATCAGGACATGATTTATGTGCAGGAATCATGATCTGACTACCACGCTCTGGGACCCTACAGACAGTGCATACCACATCATGGTCGTGTAGCCAGGAAGCAGGTTGGCTTGGGTCTGGGAAGTTTTCAGTAAGGAATGGGTTGTTCAAGCCAAGTTCATATTCAACGCCATGCATTGCTGAACCTTGCTGCCAGCCAGCCATGGTCTTTCCCCACTCTGGATCCCTTGGTAGGCACAGATAATTAGCACCTCCTCCTGCGTCAGCATAATATGATTTTCCAGCTATCCCTAAAAATTATAACTTGGTCATATTATCTTCTCATGTGGTGCCTCTTTTTGATTTCCTATGCCCTCTTTTATCATGACCTCTCTCACATAGGTGATGATACTCCCATACAGAGTTTTATCGCAATATATTACATCTATTATTATATAAAGCTGTTTATGTTTATAATGTATGCAAAAGTGCCAAAGGGAAAGGACCAAATATTGTAACAGAACACAGCAACAAAGAGGTATTTATTTTTTGTACTTTACAAATATTACCATATTTTACCTGAATAGACTTGCTCTACATTAGTGGGACATGTTGTCCTTCCCCATCTCACATATGTAGCACCACCTGTTCCAGGAGGACCACTGCCAATAGGTGCTGGTGATACTTGGGGCCCTTGTATATTAGAGGACCTATTTATGCAATCATTTGTCTGAAGTGCCTCTACCAGGTCCTTGATATCTTCGGCTGATAAACCTTGGCCTGCCAATCCCTAAAATTAAACCTTGTACTACATACTAGTCTTCCTTCTTATTGAAATATTGGAAGGAACATTGAAGATCTCGGATCAATCAGAATTTGATTAGTTGTATCTCCAGATAAACTTTACTTATGTAGGGCACTCACATCTCTTCCATCCCTTCCTGGACTTCCATCTCTTCCTGCTGGTCCAGGTGGTCCTTGTTGTCCAGGTGGTCCTTGTGGTCCTGCCATGCCATCTCTACCATCTCGTCCATATATATTTCCAGCTTAAATATTGTAAAAATCAACATACCAAATATATTTTTAATTTATCAGAAACGTTACATGATTTTCAGATGTCTTCTTTTATGCTCTTTATTGGATTTATCATTTTATGTCCATTTAACCTCTTGACTACCTGGAGTGACGAGATTTCTTGTCACCTCAGAAATGACCTTGAAACCCAGAGTGAGGAGAAAATCCGTCATAAAATTTTTCACTAAAATTGCTCTTATTTGAAAAATGTTCATCCATTTTACGCAAAAATTGTTTTAAAATGTGTAGAAATGATCTCTGCCATCTAATTTTACTAAGTCGAGCATCTAAAGTTGTATAGGTATGTAAGAAAATGTCAAAAGGTGTCAAAAATGAAAAATTCTCTGGTTTCAACCGATTTTAGAGCCTGGGATTCAAGAGGTTAATTATCATTTATGTTGCTTCAGAGCAATGAATTCAATAAATGCTGACAGTGCTATATGAAAAACAATCAGTGTGGATTTTTGTGCGGACTTTAAGGCATGTTGGGTATTCGTATACAGTGTAGATGATACCTCATGAAAAAGAAATTATGTTGATATTTGTGTACTTCATTCTATTGCGATGCACTAGGCATTGATCCCCTCTCTAAAGCAAAGAATTTGAAATTGCCTCTTTTATACACCATTTATAGCCTTTATTATTGGTGATCTTTGTGCATGTTTGTCTACATAGGCTCATTCTGATACTCAGACCATCTCTGCTATGTACATATTAGGCTGTTATTCAGAGAATTTTCATCACCGCCTTTTACCGCTGCCATATTCTGCTGTCATGGAGTCATATTGAGATTACAAAATTTTAAAAAAATGGCCACCATTTTTTTACTTCAGAATTTGAATTGCACATTTTGACCTTATTACCAAATAAAAAATTTCAAAACAGGCAAGGAGTGATCAATATATAACATGCAGTTCAAATCTTTTAGATTGCTATTTTTGTATTTACAACCAATAATTAATGTCAGTCATTAACAACATATTGTGACTGTTTAAAAAATGGCAGACCCAGGGATTTTAATTTTAGATGTATTATTCTCATAACAAAACTTTTTTTTTATTAGTACATGGCACAGTGGTCTACATCCCATGACTTCTGGCCAAGTAGTTAGCTAGAGACTTGAGTATATTTGTTTCTTCTGTAATAGTCTTAAACTTACTTGCAGATGTACCTGCAGCTTGACGTTTTCCACGTTTTGAATGTATGATTCTGCTGTCATGTGATCTATCTCTCTGCTCAGTGGAACTCTGGATCAGTTGCTTGAAAAATAAACATGCTGGAGTTTTGCTTATTCTCTATATATTGACAAAAATGTGATTAGATTGTTTGGTTTTGGAGTGATTTTAATATACTTTTGATATGTATTCATCTATTTTTTCAACATGTCTTGAAATGACATCAGTATGAATGAAATGAACTTATTATCCCATCGAACGAAGTTCGGAGGGATATAGGGAACGCCTCCGTCTGTCCGTCCGTCCGTCCGTCCGTCCGTCCGTACGTACGTCCGTCCGTCCGTCCGTCCGTCCGTCCGTCCGTCCGGGCAATAACTCAAATACCGTTGGCCTGATTTTGTTGATATTTTGTACACAAATACCCTATGGGGGTAGAAGTTCTGCTCGAAAGCCGATTTTCAAAATGGCCGCTCATTTCAAAATGGCCGCTCATTTCAAAATGGCGGCCATTTTAGTGCCGAATTTACAGTAATTTAGGTGCAATATGTAAAACTGTAATAGCAATATGTTTTAGATGTAAAAAAATTATATAGGACATTAATAAAGCTAGAAATGTAGATATTAAAGAAGCACATGGCAGCCATCTTGAAAAATGGCGGCCTTTTCTCGTTATTTTACGATTTTTGCTGTAACTCGAAAAGTAGTGGAGCGATTTTGTTCATATTTGGTATGTGAATACTATAAACATTGCACACTGTCTAAAGACACTTTTGGTAGAAGGCGGCCATTTTGAAAAATGGCCACCATTTTGAAAAATAGCTACCATTTTAACGTATTTTACTATAACTCGAAAAGTAGTGGAGCGATTTTGTTCATATTTGGTATGTGAATACTATAAGCATGACACACTGTCCTATGACACTTTTGGTAGAAGGCGGCCATTTTGAAAAACATTTTGAAAAATGGCCGCCATTTTAACGTATTTGACTATAACTCGAAAAGTAGTGAAGCGATTTTGTTCATATTTGGTATGTGAATACTGTAAGCATGGCACACTGTCTAATGACACTTTTGGTAAAAGGCGGTCATTTTTCAAAATGGCCACCATTTTAACGTATTTTACAATAACTCGAAAAGTAGTGGAGCGATTTTGTTTATATTTGGTATGTAAATACTATAAGCACGGCACACTGTCTTATGGCACTTTTGGTAGAAGGTGGCCATTTTGAAAAATGGCCGCCATTTTAACGTTTTTTACTTTAACTTGAAAAGTAGTGGAGCGATTTTGTTCATATTTGGTATATGAATACTATAAGCATGGCACATGGTCTAATGACACTTTTGGTAGAAGGCGGCCATTTTGAAAAATGGCTGCCATTTTTGCTATATACTTTGTTTGTAAAAATGCCATCCATGGCTGTTCGATGGGATTCGCTACGCTTTGGCGTTGCCGTTGTTCTGGTTGGGAATTAAGGTCAGTGTTATCTGAATTATCTGAAGTTATGTAAATTTTCTTGGTAATAGCATAGGCATTCATCTTATAATGCCCATGGTAATAGCCTCAGTGACTTAATCCTACCATATTTTATATGTCACTGCACCAGAGTATTAAATACAACCTACAAATATACTTTGACATACCTGATTTTCAAGTGTTTCAATGCGAGTCTTCAGCTCCTCTATTTTATAGTAAAATATTGCAGAACCAGCCAATGATACCACAGCAAGTCCCATTGCAAACATCACCAAAATCAACAGCAAACATATTCTGTCTTTCTTCTCCATTTTTTTGTGTTTTTCTGTTGACCCTAAGATTCCTAACATAAGCTTAACAAGTTGTTGTTCCTCTCTATGATACTTATTATTTAATGAAATTTCAAATATTGAAAATTAAAAATCTTTCACCAGCTTTGACTTTTGCTCTGATGCTAGACTTCTCTGTTTACAACTGCAAATTGCTGTTATGATTCAGACTCACAAGGTTGAATATTGACAAAGGAAAGGGTGACTGGAAAGTTTAGTAGCAATTAAACTTTGTGACATTATATATATAAGAACTTGATGGAAATCAGTTTGGAATGTGGTCAACAAATTTTTGTATTTTTACTTGCTGTTTTTTGTGAAGTTTTTTGTATCTGTTAATGGAACATGATGATGATAACATATTTTAGTGTTCTTTTCACCTACTAGTATTGGTTTCCCTTATAAATCTTTAATGCCAGCACTTCCTATGATTGTAAATGTATTTAGATCTCAACATGTTGATATTTTGTGAATGTGTTTCCACTGTTTTAGCAAATCCTTGCATAGAAACATTGGGAGTGAAAACTTGAAAACTTGAAAACTTGATAAGCGCTAGTGCAGACACCAAGATAAACAAAATAAAAGATAGAAAAGCAAAATCTAAGAGTATACCTGTAAATGAATATAAGGAAAACAAATCCCAACCATCTCCAAAAATGATATAAAGAATCAATTCATAAGAAACAGTGTCTAATGTTCCCTCCCCTATCCCACCACCACATCCCAAGGAAAGACCCCCAACCTTGAGTTAAATTTTTCACTAAACTGACAATTATCTGCAGAATTCTTACTTGAGTGATATTACAAATACAGTGTAGTACATTTTAATCTTGGCTCTGTATGACTTTACTCATGATTTTAATATTTGCAAAAAGACGATGTTTTCAGACAAAAGTTTCCAGACAACCTGTACCATCCTTGACTTTAGCTTGGAATGTTTTAACATCCACATCACCTTGAATCAATGACATTTCCACAAAGAATACTGTAAATGTGCATATTCTAGTTATTTTGACAATAAATTTAAACAATGAATGCATGCAGAGATGTTACAGCAGTAAATTACAGGACTCATATGTATAAATATTCATAGCTTGAGAGTTAAGAACAGGTTAAATTGAAAAAATTACAGTAATTATCTACAGTTGCATAATAAACACATCTTCATATTTTAGGCAATATCGGTTTAACCAACCTTGGTAATGAAGTTAGGGAATTACACTGATATAAGTTCTGTATTTCATACTTTGTATTAGCAGGTGGTGACAGTATGTCTTGTACATTTATCATGGGTTTACAGTATTTCACTGATACATGACTTTTGAATAATGAACACTATTAATCTCTACACCATATAAAACATAGAAATTGATAATGCCTGGATGACAAAGCAAACATGATGGTAGCTGGCTTTATTTGTTCACATTGTGGTATTTCAATAATGCTAGATCAGGATGTGTGCTTGCATATAACTGATTGAAACATGAAAAGGTCATTGGCAAATAAACTAATTCAATTCATGGCTAATATTTATAGGTTTTAATATAATAAAATCGATGTAAAAAGTGATTGCGATATTAATTTTGCATCCTGTTTTTGTATTTATGGCGGTTATTGTTTCACTTTCCAATGTTACCCTCCATGATTTCAATCAAATTAAAAACTTGATATTATTTGCTGAGTGTTTAGGATCGGATGATTATTATTTTGTCATTTATTTATTGGCCATTTCCCTCTGCCAGATATACAAGTATATTTGTAAAACAATACTGAAAATACAATATTGAAAACTTTACCCACCTAACAATGAATATCTCTTTAACCAATATAGTTTGATAAAAGATATTTTTCACAATTTCAAGTTAGTTCAGTGTTGACAAAGTTTCACCACTTCACATTTGCTGGCAATTCAAATAATTTGCTCCTAATCGGCACTGTGTCTGGTGACAGCGTTGTAAACAATGGGCAAAGTTGTTGATAACATGTAGGCATTCATCCCTAAATATGGCTCTTGTCTTTTGTGTTATCTTTTGTTTCAGCTATGCAATATTTTGAGGCTTGTTGGCATACACGTTATTCTTAAGGAACCCCCATAGATACAAATCTGGGGTGTTCAGATTTGGGGAGTGGGGTGCCCTGTTGTTATCTGCTCTATGACTGATGAGTGGATTATCACAATTATTCTGAAGCTACTCCAAGGTGGTGTTGGATGTGTGTGGTGTAGCCTCCATCTTGTTGGAACTATTAGGATGGCCTATCAATGTCATTCCCTCATTGTAGACCCCTTCAAACTTACTTAGCAAAACAATATAACACTCTAGGTTTATTGTTTCAGCAAATGGGACATATATATACTTGCTATAGTAGTGAAACTTTGCTTAAGAACATTGAACCAACTTTAATTGTGCAGATGTTCCTTAATGGAACTCAATTGGTTAAAGAGATATTCATTGTTAAGTTGGCAAAGCTTTTTGGCACATCCTAAATGTATGTATAAGTCTCTGCAATGACATCATGTTTCACTCAGTATGGTGTCTAAGATCTATTTAGTACATACAGCACAAGTGAGCTCAAAACCATGTTGGTAATTTGGGCAAGGTAGACCATGACCACAATAGGCTTCAACTACATAAAGTAAACCCCCATTCTTGTTTTCATGACCTCCTTCATCTGCTTCAGGAGCTTCATCAACACAAATAAAGTCAGATTTTGTGTGCTTGTAATGCTCACTCATAAGATAGCCATTGTATTCTTTTGTCCAGGTATCAGAACATGATTTATGTGCAGGAATCATGATCTGACTACCACGCTCTGGGACCCTACAAACAGTGCATACCACATCATGGTCCTGAAGCCAGGAAGCAGGTTGACTTGGGTCTGGGAAGTTGTCTGTAAGGAATGGGTTGTTCAAGCCAAGTTCATATTCCACTCCATGTATATTCGCTTCTGCTTGCCAGCCAGCCATGGTCTTTCCCCACTCTGGATCCCTTGGTAGGCACAGATAATTAGCACCTCCTCCTGCATCCTTATAATATGATTTTCCAGCTATCCCTAAAAATTATAACTTGGTCATATTATCTTCTCATGTGGTTCCTCTTTTTGATTTCCTATGCCCTCTTTTATCATGACCTCTCTCACATAGGTGATGATACTCCCATACAGAGTTTGTTTTACCGTAATACATTACATTTATAATTATATGAAGCTGTGTTATGTTTATATGTATGTATGCAAAGTGCCAAAGGGAAAGGACCAAATATTGTAACAGAACACAGCAACAAAGAGGTATTTATTTTTTGTACTTTACAAATATTACCATATTTTACCTGAATAGACTTGCTCTACATTAGTGGGACATGTTGTCCTTCCCCATCTCACATACGTAGCACCCCCTGTCCCAGAAGGGCTACTGCCGATAGGTGCTGGTGATACTTGGGGCCCTCGTATATCAGATGACCTATTTATGCAATCATTTGTCTGAAGTGCCTCTACCAGGTCCTTGATATCTTCGGCTGATAAACCCTGGCCTGTCAGTCCCTAAAATGAAACCTTTTAGTACATTATACATTGTCCTTCTTATTGAAATATTGGAAACGAGCATTGAAGATCTCGGATCAATCAGAATTTGATTAGTTATATCTCCAGATAAATTTTACTTAATATGTAGGGCACTCACATCTCTTCCATCCCTTCCTGGACTTCCATCTCTTCCTGCTGGTCCAGGTGGTCCTTGTTGTCCAGCTGGTCCTTGTGGTCCTGCCATGCCATCTCTACCATCTCGTCCATATATATTTCCAGCTTAAATATTGTAAAAATCAACATACTAAATATATTTTTAATTTAACAGAAACGTTACATGATTTTCAGATGTCTTCTTTTATGCTCTTTATTGGATTAATCATTTTATGTCCATTTAATCTCTTGACTTGACCTTGAAACCCAGAGTGACGAGAAAATCTGTCATAAATTTTTCACTAAAATTGCTCTTATTTGAAAAATTTTCATCCATTTTACGCAAAAATTGTTTTAAAATGTGTAGAAATGATCTCTGCCATCTAATTTTACTAAGTCGAGCATCTAAAGTTGTATAGGTATGTAGGAAAATGTCAAAAGGTGTCAAAAATGAAAAATTCTCTAGTTTCAACCGATTTTAGAGCCTGGGATTCAAGAGGTTAATAATCATTTATGTTGCTTCAGAGCAATGAATTCAACAAATGCTGACAGTGCTATATGAAAAACAATCAGTGTGGATTTTTGTGCGGACTTTAAGGCATGTTGGGTATTCATATACAGTGTAGATGATACCTCATGAAAAAGAAATTATGTTGATATTTGTGTAGTTCATTCTATTGCGATGCACTAGGCATTGATCCCCTCTCTAAAGCAAAGAATTTGAAATTGCCTCTTTTATACACCATTTATAGCCTATATTATTGGTGATCTTTGTGCATGTTTGTCTACATAGGCTCATTCTGATACTCAGACCATCTCTGCTATGTACATATTAGGCTGTTATTCAGAGAATTTTCATCACCGCCTTTTACCGCTGCCATATTCTGCTGTCATGGAGTCATATTGAGATTACAAAATTTTAAATTCAGAATTTGAATTGCACATTTTGACCTTATTACCAAATAAAAAATTTCAAAACAGGCAAGGAGTGATCAATATATTACATGCAGTTCAAATCTTTTAGATTGCTATTTTTGTATTTACATCCAATAATTAATGTCAGTCATTAACAACATATTGTGACTGTTTAAAAAATGGCAGACCCAGGGATTTTAATTTTAGATGTATTATTCTCATAACAAAACTTTTTTTTTATTAGTACATGGCACAGTGGTCTACATCCCATGACTTCTGGCCAAGTAATAAGCTAGAGACTTGAGTATATTTGTTTCTACTGTAATAGTCTTAAACTTACTTGCAGATGTACCTGCAGCTTGACGTTTTCCACGTTTTGAATGTATGATTCTGCTGTCATGTGATCTATCTCTCTGCTCAGTGGAACTCTGGATCAGTTGCTTGAAAAATAAACATGCTGGAGTTTTGCTTATTCTCTATATATTGACAAAAATGTGATTAGATTGTTTGGTTTTGGAGTGATTTTAATATACTTTTGATATGTATTCATCTATTTTTTCAACATGTCTTGAAATGACATCAGTATGAATGAAATGAACTTATTGGGAATTAAGGTCAGTGTTATCTGAATTATCTGAAGTTATGTAAATTTTCTTGGTAATAGCATAGGCATTCATCTTATAATGCCCATGGTAATAGTCTCAGTGACTTTCTTAATCCTACCATATTTTATATGTCACTGCACCAGAGTATTAAATACAACCTACAAATATACTTTGACATACCTGATTTTCAAGTGTTTCAATGCGAGTCTTCAGCTCCTCTATTTTATAGTAAAATATTGCAGAGCCAGCGAGTGACACCACGGCAAGTCCCATTGCAAACATCACCAAAATCAACAGCAAACATATTCTGTCTTTCTTCTCCATTTTTTGTGTTTTTCTGTTGACCCTAAGATTCCTAACATAAGCTTAACAAGTTGTTGTTCCTCTCTATGATACTTATTTATTTAATGAAATTTCAAATATTGAAAATTAAAAATCTGTCACCAGCTTTGACTTTTGCTCTGATGCTAGACTTCTCTGTTTACAACTGCAAATTGCTGTTATGATTCAGACTCACAAGGTTGAATATTGACAAAGGAAAGGGTGACTGGAAAGTTTAGTAGCAATTAAACTTTGTGACATTATATATATATAAGAACTTGATGGAAATCAGTTTGGAATGTGGTCAACAAATTTTTGTATTTTTACTTTCTGTTTTTTGTGACGTTTTTTGTATCTGTTAATGGAACATGATGATGATAACATATTTTAGTGTTCTTTTCACCTACTAGTATTGGTTTCCCTTATAAATCTTTAATGCTGGCACTTCCTATGATTGTTAATGTATTTAGATCTCAACATGTTGATATTTTGTGAATGTGTTTCTACTGTTTTAGCAAATCCTTGCATAAGAAACATTGGGAGTGAAAACTTGAAAACTTGATAAGCGCTAGTGCAGACACCTAGATAAACAAAATAGAGGATAGAAAAGCAAAATCTAAGAGTATAAATGGATATAAGGAAAACAAATCCCAACCATCTTCAAAAATGATATAAAGAATCAATTCATAAGAAACAGTGTCTAACGTTCCCTCCCCTATCCCACCACCACATCCCAAGGAAAGACCTCCCAACCTTGAGTTATTTTCACTAAAATTACAATTATTTGCAGAATTCTTACTTGAGTGATATTACAAATAGTACATTTATTCTTGGCTCTGTATGACATTACTCATGACAATGTTTTTAAACAAAACTTTCCAGACAACCTGTACCATCCTTGACTTTAGCTTGGAATGTTTTAACCTCCACATCACCATGAATCAATGACTTTTCCAAGAAGAATACTGTAAATGCGCATATTCTAGTTATTTTGACATTAAATTTAAACAATGAATGCATGCAGAGATGTTACAGCAGTAAATTACAGGACTCATATGTATAAATATTCATAGCTTGAGAGGTTAAATTGAAAAAATTACAGCAATTATCTACAGTTGCATAATAAACACATCTTCATATTTTAGGCAATATCGGTTTAACCAACCTTGGTAATGAAGTTAGGGAATTACACTGATATAAGTTCTGTATTTCATACTTTGTATTAGCAGGTGGTGACAGTATGTCTTGTACATTTATCATGGGTTTACAGTATTTCACTGATACATGACTTTTGAATAATGAACACTATTAATCTCTACACCATATAAAACATAGAAATTGATAATGCCTAGATGACAACGCAAACATGATGGTAGTTGGCTTTATTTGTTCACATTGTGGTATTTCAATAATGCTAGATCAGGATTTGTGCTTGCATATAACTAATTGAAACATGAAAAAAGTCATTGGCAAATAAACTACAAGTAATTCAATTCATGGCTAATATTTATAGGTTTTAATATAATACAATCAATGTAAAAAGTGATTGCGACATTAATTTTGTATCCTGTTTTTGTATTTGTGGCGGTTATTGTTTCACTTTCCTATGTTACCCTCCATGATTTCAATCAAAATAAGAACTTGATATTATTTGCTGAGTGTTTAGGATAGGATGATTATTATTTTGTCATTTATTTATTGGCCATTTCCCTCTGCCAGATACAAGTATATTTGTAAAACAATACTGAAAATACAATATTGAAAACTTTACCCACCTAACAATGAATATCTCTTTAACCAATATAGTTTGATAAAAGATATTTTTCACAATTTAAAGTTAGTTCAGTGTTGACAAAGTTTCACCACTTCACATTTGCTGACAATTCAAATAATTTGCTCCTAATCGGCACTGTGTCTGGTGACAGCGTTGTAAACAATGGGCAAAGTTGTTGATAACATGTACGCATTCATCCCTAAATATGGCTCTTGTCTTTTGTGTTATCTTTTGTTTCAGCTATGCAATAGTTTGAGGGTTGTTGGCATACACGTTATTCTTAAGAAACCCCCACAGATACAAATCTGGGGTGTTCATATTTGGGGAGTGGGGTGCCCTGTTGTTATCTGCTCTATGACTCATGAGTCAATCATCACAATTATTCTGAAGCCACTCCAAGGTGATGTTGGATGTGTGTGGTGTAGCCTCCATCTTGTTGAAACTATTAGGATGGCCTATCAGTGCCATTCCCTCCTTGTAGACTCCATCAAACTTTCTTAGCAAAACAATATAACACTCTAGGTTTATGGTTACAGCAAATGGGCCATATATATACTTGCTAATAGTTGTAAAACTTTGCTAAATTAAAGAACATTTAACTAACTTTAATTGTGCAAATGTTCCTTTATGGAACTCAATTGGTTAAAGAGATATTCATTGTTAAGTTGGTAAAGTTTTTTTGGCAATCCTAAATGTATGTATAAGTCTCTGCAATGACATCATGTTTCACTTAGTATGGTGTCTAAGATCTATTTAGTACACACAGCACAAGTGACCTCAAAACCATGTTGGTAATTGGGGCAAGGTAGAGTATGACCACAGTCAGCTTCAACTACTAGCAGTAAAGCCCCATTCTTGTCTTCATGACCTCCTTCATCTGCTTCGGGAGCTTCATCCAGACAAATGTAGTCTGATTTTGAATTCTTATAACCTTCACTCATAAGATAGCCATTGTACTCAAGTGTCCAGGTATCAGGACATGATTTATGTGCAGGAATCATGATCTGACTACCACGCTCTGGAACCCTACAAACAGTGCATACCACGTCATGGTTGTGTAGCCATGAAGCTGGTTGGCTTGGGTCTGGGTAGTTGTCTGTGAGGAATGGGTTGTTCGAGCCAAGTTCAAATTCCACTCCCTGTATATTCGCAAATGATGCTGTCTGCCACCCAGCCATTGTCTTTCCCCATTCTGGATCCCTTGGTAGGCAGAGATAATTAACACCTCCTCCTTTATCAATATGATGTGATTTTCCTGCTATCCCTACAAATTATAATAGTTCCTCTTATGGTACCTCACTTTAACTTGCTATTTAGCCCCTTTTAACAACTTATAAGAGCTCTCTCAATTATTGCAAGTGAAAGTCTCAAACAGAACTATACATAAGTTGTTATTTTTGTTCTTAACAAGTACGTATTACTCCTTCTTCCTTTTCCTTGATTAGTTAATTTCCCAGTTTTCCTTACCTGAATAGACTTGTTCTACATTAGTGGGACAGGTTGTCCTTCCCCATCTCACATACGTAGCACCCCCTGTTCCAGGAGGGCTACTGCCAATCGGTGCTGGTGATACTTGGGTTCCTTGTGCACCAGTGGACCTATTTATGCAATAGTTAGTATGAAATGCCTCTACAAGGTTGCTAATATCTTCAGTTGATAATCCCTGGCCTGTCAATCCCTGAAAAATAACTTGTATTTTTTATTTCTACACATGGCCATTAAATTTATGTATTTTGAAATGCTCTGATTTTTATCAGAATTTGATCTTTTTATGTCTATAAATGGACTTTGCATACATGTAGGTCAACACTCACATCTCTTCCATCTCTACCCGCTGGTCCAGGTGGTCCTTGTTGTCCTGGTGGTCCTTGTGGTCCTACCATGCCATCTCTTCCATCTCGTCCATAGATACATCCACCTTGAATTTAATAGCAGTGAGAGCAACACTTATATTTTGATTCATACTTGTTTCCTGTTTTCCAGATGATCTATGTCATGCCTTCTCTTAATAATCGCACCCTTGGGTGCTATGTTGAGATCAGTTTGGATTTTTATCATTATTTGTCCATTTTAGCAATTGTCTTTCCTCAAATCATGGTCACTCCATAAGATCTTTAATACTTTTATTCATGAAAACATCACACTTTATCATTATTTCCAATTGTTAAACTTACTTGCAGATGTACCTGCAGCTTGACGTTTTCCACGTTGTGAATGTGCAACTCCATCAGCCATTCTACCACTTTGATCAGAAGAACTCGATTGCTTTACAATTAATAATAAAAAATCTTAGTTAAAGTATATTCAGTAAAAGAAAGATTCAAAGCTACAAAAACTAGATATGAGTTAAAAAATCTCATGGTTTTACCATATTTTTGCTAAAAGCATTCCATAATACATGTATGTTCACTTAAAATAAGGTTTACTGTTCCGAATTTGATTTGTGACTATTGTTCAGCAGAATTTTTATAAAATTGAAGTCTCCTTTCAATGGTAATGAATTTCATGATAAATCCTTGGTCAGATGTACTCGAGTATTTGCTTCCACTCAAATAACACAACTGGTAACACAAAATGTAGACCTACGGTAATATACCTGCTTTTCTAGAGCCTCTATTCGAGTTTTCAATTCCTGTATTTCATCTTCACCTCTCAATACAGCCACCTGTACTTTCAACAACTCTTCCTTTTCTTGAAGCAACTCATAGTAAAAAGTAACAGAGCAGGCCAGTGACACAACAGTGATCACCATGGTGAATACCATCACAATTGATGTCAAGCACATTTTGTCTTTCTTTTCCATTTTCATCCTGCCCTTGAGAATTGTTTTCAATTTCTTTCTAATATAAAATATGTTCTACAGTTCAGTATATTTTGAATTATATGTTCATAGATACAAGCAAAAACTAAACATGATCGCTGCAATCTTCGGGAACCACTGACAAACAAAACATTTCCAGGAGCCTATTACATGAATAGGCTTACCCTTCAAACAACTTTGTTATTACCAAGCTGACATTTGCAAATAGTATTATCATAAATGTATTATGAATCATCACTTTAATTATGTTTTACTTCACATGTTAAAAAATAGAAATTGAAAAGGGTATTCTATTTTATTTGAACAACATAAAATAGAACTTATGAAAAGTCACCCCAATAGAATCAAATTAGTATTCATGTATTGTATACAGGGTGGTCAAAAAAATGGAAACCCTGCATTTTCCTTATATCTTTGTCACTATAAAGAATTACTGCCTGATATTTCATACATTTGTACATCATTCAATTTCCTACAACCCTAGCATATTTCATGACCATCAGACCGATAGTCACAATTTTACAGCACTTCGAACAACATGCTTCAGGTTTGGCCATCATCGCGCCGGAGGCAAACCTGTGCAGCTGTCAATGATCCAAATGCATTCCTCAGCAGGTATGGCCTGAATGATACAAATGATCTAACTTTTGAGGTTTGCAATTGTCCTGACATCATTCTCACATACTCTATCTCTGCCATATCCCTACGGGTAGGGACATTTTAGACGATGAGTACAGGTTTCCCCACAACGCAATAGTGGCCACTGGGCATGTTCTTTGAAGTACTGTAACATGGTGACTACTAATGTGATGGTCATGAAATATAGTAGGCTGGTAGCAAATTGAATGATGTATAAAAGTGTAAAATATCAGGGAGTTATTTTTTGAAATGACAAAGATATGAAGAAAATGTATTAGGGTTTCCATTTTTTTTGACCACCCTGTAGTTCCCAATTTAACTTCCAAATGGCCTTTACCACAAATAATGTGATAAAATTTATACTTTGATGGGGCAAGGAATTTTACTTAAATCCTAATTGCATATGAACATAAAGTGTGGTGTACAAGCATTTATACCACTCTAAGTCCAATTACAGTTGTATAACATGGGTCTATAACAACGATATACAGTGGAGAGTGGTATATCGTCATCGTATACAACTCCAGCGTATACCACTGTAGAAGTGCATTCTGGGAACTAATGAATAAAAAAAATCATGAAAATTTTCATGATTTCCTAGAATCAAGTGACGTCATAAATGGTTCGAGATCAACATCAGCATTATTGAGTTGGCTATGGGATATTTTTATGGTTTTTAATTGTTATGATTGTGTTCGAATCAAATGTAATTGAACTTAGAGTGGCATAATAAGATTATATAATGGTTCATTCTGTATATCGTGCATTTTATACTCTCGTGAGAATATAATATATTCACTCATTCGCTACGCTCACTTGTGAATATATTATATACTCACTCGAGTATAAAAACGATATACAGAAAGAACCATTATAACCTCATATTATATATTTCTGGCTTTGTTGTGAACCGAATGATGATTATTCTAGATTTACAACACCAGGAAGAAAAATGTTTTGAATGTCAGCATGAACATTATCATAATTAGTAATTTATTTCCTTTATAACAATGACGATAATCATTATGATAATAGCCATACATTAATCATGTTCAGTCATTCTAAGCATTCCATACAATTATCCGTTAATGTTTTTTCAACCACAAAATTGCTTTTTCTTTTTTGTGGGGGTAACCCCCCCCCCCAGCTTTTGGCTGTTGAATTATTTTTGAATATGTTTTCGCAAACAGACTTTTTATGAAGCATTCATTATTGATGATAAATAATGTTGACATGTACATGTATGAGATACATGTATAGGGTGTCAAACTAGTGTTTTTGTGTCACCACCATAAAGTGGTGACATATTGATATTGTCTCTGTTTTTTGTGATGGCGGTTGGCTGTTGGCGATCGGCGGGTGGTGGTTGACATCTGTAACAAATTGTTACAACTTCCAATAACAAATACTGTCTAGACTGAATACAGTTTTTTTCCAAATCATCTACAACTTTTCAGAAGTTCAAATCTGACTTTAAGATTTGACCTTCAACGACTTCTCAAAGTTAAAAAAGGTCAAAAAGGTCTTTTTTCAACTTGCTCCAAATTAACGTTCAAATCTGACTTAAGATTTCACCTTGGATCACCTTCTCAGGGTCAAAAAAGGTATTTTTCAACTTGCTTCAAATTGACCAGTTTTCTCAAAATCATCTACAAGTTCTCAGAAGTTCAAATCTGACTTTAGATTTGAGATTTCACCTTGGATGACCTTCTCAGGGTCAAAAAAAGGTATTTTCAACTTGCTTCAAATTGACCAGTTTTTTCAAAATCATCTACAAGTTCTCAGAAATTAAAATCTGACTTACGGTTGAACTCATAAAATTTTGAGCAACTAGGTGGTGACATTTTGTCATGTTAATGCTTTGTATGTACTTCTTTTCATACAAGATGACCAAAACAAATGGCATGTGAGTTGTATTGCGCCTAATTTGGATAATATTCCTTTAATAATTACGTTCAATTAGGATAGTGTTCTCCATAACTACATAATTCATTTTTTTAGTACATACATGTATGTAATTGAGTATATTAGGAATAAGAACTTTCTTTAGCTTAAATATATTAATAACAAAATAAAGCATAGCAAATTCACTTCTGTCCAAAGAATTTTCATTTGATATTCAATTTAACATTGATTTTGTACTTTGTAAAAATACTTCAAAATATTAAAAGTACTTCAAAAATATTGGAGATTTTAGACCCTTTTAGACCCACAAGAGCCTGATTTTGAAAATAATTGTATGTCATTTTTTTAGCGACATAATAGCCTTTCATTTCAACCACAATAGGATTCAATTTAAGGTGGGGCATTTTTGTCCCTTATTCAACCTACACCTTTGGCCAACAAAATCTCTCTTACTTTGACTTTCAAAGTAAGATTTGGGCTACATAATTACCATTCAAAGTAATTGATTGATTAATTAATTGAAGGTAATGATTTTCTGATTGCAGAGGAAACAGAGGGGTGGTAGCAACTACTCTGATGAGGAAAAAGAGACTGCTGTGTTTAACCAGGCCCCAGGATGCCCTAATCTTACCATTCTCTCTTTCAAAGGGGGATTCCATGGGAGAACTATGGGTATGTATATATTAAAAATCGTTTACATGTAAATACTCATCGCAACTCTTTTCCTAGACAATCTCTGATTGGAAATACCTGAAATTGTTAGATTATAGAATACATACAGTCATTTCATTGATCAGAAAGTGTGAAATGAGCACTGAAACAAATTTGAATGTGCATCATCCTGTAATATAAATAAGAAGAGAAACTTACTACAAGGGCTAAATTGCCTCAATACCAAGTTATTTTAAAGGTAACCAGAGATTTAAAAGGGCTAATTATTATGCTATAGAGGCCAAACTAGTCAGTTGAGCCCAGGTTGTCCACATGTAAAGACATAGGCAGTTGAAGATTAGTTTTAGATATAATTTTAGGTGTGCACACTTAAGAGAAGTTAGATAATCAAGATAAGTTACAAATTACAAACGAAAGAAACATCTTACCAACAAGGAGACAAGAACAACATGCTAAGGTAATCTTTCGTTCACATGGTGGCAGCGAAACAAAGAACAACGTCTCGAAGAAGAAGAATTTCCGAAAGAAAGAAGAATTTCGAAGAAGAAGAATTTTGCAGTTTGGTGAGAACACTTATTTTCTCCAATTTTCAAAAGGACAGTTAGGATTTTGATAATTTGAATTTCAAGTCTATGTTAGGGCTCAACTCAATTTATAGAAGTTTAGATATTTAGAAGTTTAGGTAGTTTTGCATATTCTAGAGGTGCAATTTGTAGACGTTATTTTAATAGAAGAGCAGTTACTAAAGTTTGCAATTTATAGATGGTCCCAGAAGGACAATTTCTTAGATGTCAGTTTATAGATGCTTATTGAGGTAGAAGTTGATTTTCTAGAAATGCTATTTTAGAGGTGCATTCAGACGTGCATATAGAGGTGCAATTAGATGTGCATATAGAGGTGCATAATTTAGAAGTTATTGAAGTTTAGCATTATAGAGGTCTCTATGGTAAAAATTCATTTATAGAGGCAATTTTGAAGTACATTTCAGAAAACTGCAATGTGTAGTCTCAATTGAGATTGTTTTTAGAGGTTAGATGTTCATACAAGTTAGATTGCAATATTGATAGTTATTACAGGTCCTATAGTACACATATTGCTAACAAGATGTATTTGAGAATTCAAGTAGACCATCCTATATTGCTAATCCAAGTAGCCAAGTTTAGTGCATAAGTAGCCAAGTTTAGTGTAAAATTAGCCAGCTTGAGTGTTCAGATTTCAATGGCACTGTTGAATTTCAAACAGCATTAAAATTACCTTATTGTATAAGATTAGGTATTGAGATCTCAGTCATTACATTGAATTTCATGAAATTTGGTGAAAAGGTGTGAAATGAGGTTAGTGTTGAGATTTCTTACTGATTTTTGCAGGCAGGCTTATTGACCACTTAAATAGAATTTTAAGTGAGTGATACATTTTTAATTTACATTGACTTTATTAGAAGGTCATAATGACTCTATTCACATCAATTGAGTGAGTTTGAATTCATGCAGAGAAAAGTTTAGCCTTTGAATTTAATCAATTAGAATTACATAATACATTTGGCTAGACTCAAATCAAAACAAATTGCATAATGCAAATGTAAATAAACAAACTGTACATATCTAAAGTACATGTACAATTTATTCAATTGAATTTTGAGAACATATTTGATTGAGACATTTGATTGATTTTATTTCTCAATTCTGTGTGAATAGAGCAAGTTTATTTATGTAAGGGTATAAGGAATGCCCGATACTAGAAACAAAACATACGATTCATTCGAAGATAGAAAAAAACAAGCCAAGAAGAAGAAGAAACCAAACACAATGTCAACAGAAAAACAAGAATTTTATGAAGTTGATGAAGAAGGGGCTCAAGGAGATACCATGGACCCAATGAAACAAATGATGACAATGATGGCTGCTATGATGAAAAACAGTGAAGCAGAACGTCAACATCAACAAATGATGATGCAGATCCAACTTAAAGAACAACATAACCTCTTAGAGGCAGAGAGACAGGAGAGATTAAGACAAGAAAAGATCCACAGAGATGAACTCGAGGAAGAAAGGCGATTACGAGCGGAATTTAGACAACAAGAGTTGGAGTTAAGAAAGAAACCAACTGATCCACAAATCCAGAAGATGAAGGATGATGAAGACATCGAGAATTATCTCACAGTGTTTGAGAGGACTGCAGAGATGTACAAATGGAAGCGAGAATACTGGACTCTAAAATTAGGACCAAATCTCACTGGCAAAGCACAGTCTGCATATGCGAGTGTTGCAGTTGAAGATGCCAAAAATTATGATGTCGTAAAAGAAGCCATTCTTCACAGATATTCCATCAATGAAGAAACCTACAGGAAACGCTTTAGATCATTAAAGAGGAACACTGGTGAAGGAATTAAAGCATTCACAATCAGGCTGGAAGATACCTTTAAGAAGTGGATGAAAGATGCTGACACAATTGACAAAATCAAAGACAGAGTTCTTAAGGAGGAACTACTTAATACTCTTTCAACTGATGTTCAAACATGGGTGAAAGAAAACGATGCTCAAACAACAGATGATGAAGTTAAGCTTGCTGACAACTTCTTAGAAGCAAGAAAAAGTGACCCAACAGTATGGAACAACAACTGTTACAATTGTAATGAGCCAGGGCACCAAGCCAAAGCTTGCCCTAATGAAACGCTTTGTTTCAAATGCCGTAAAACTGGGCACAAGTCGGATGAGTGCAAATCGGGACTCAGGACTGAAAGTAAAACTTCTGTTAAGTGCAACAATTGTGGCAAAGCTCACCCTACAGAAAATTGTAAAGTTGACACATCCCTCAAATGTGAAAAATGCAGTCAATATGGGCACACCACTTCAAAATGTTACGTTGGAAATAAAAGAGGATTCTTGTGTAGAGCAACTGATGACATATTTACACAGTACTTGCAAAGAGGTGATGGAACAGTTTTAGTTATGTTAAACAATGATGAAATTGAGGTGATTTTGGACACGGGAAGCTGTAAAACTATTGTGCATGGTGATCTCATTGACCTAGATGCAGTCAAACACAATGATCAAGTAAGAATGACATGTGTTCATGGGGACAGCAAGGCATACCCCACTACTTCTGCTGACATACAGATTGGCGATAAGACTTACAATGTACAAGCTGCAGTTTCAAATGATTTACCAGCCTCTGTTATCATTGGACAAGACATCCTTAGCAGGCTGGACACTGACAAGATGAATCAATATGTATATAAAAGAGGAAATAATGCATTCGTTACAACAAGACAGCAATGGAAACAGACATTACAGAGTGAAGCTGATGACAACAAGAAGAACAATGATTCTGATGTGAAATTTACTCCTGTTAAAGACATAGATGTAGATGATGATGATTTTTGTGATGTTCCATTCAAGTTTGATGATGATCTGTTCAACAAAGAAATCACTTAAAGAAGACCTTGACACTAATCAAACACCATACTTCATTATGAAGGAGGGTTTGATGATGAGAGAGACGACAAAAATGAGTGGTGAAAGAGTACAACAGTTAGTACTACCAAGATGTTGCAGAAGAAAAGTCCTAGAACTCGCACATAATATACCATTATCAGGTCACATGGGTATCAAGAGGACTACAGATAGAGTTTTAAAACGATTCTTTTGGCCGGGTATTCACAGAGATGTGAAATTATTTTGCCTGTCGTGTGACATTTGCCAAAAGACTTCCAGAAAGATGACAACAAACAGAGCGAAATTAATTCCTCTTCCCATCATCACTGAGCCATTTACCAAGATTGCCATGGATATTGTTGGTCCACTCACAAAATCAAAGAAAGGCAACAAGTTTGTTCTTGTCACTGGTGACTATGGAACAAAATTTCCTGATGCCGTGCCATTGAAGACGATAGATGCTAAGAAGATAGCAGAAGAACTGATGTCGCTATTTTGCCGAGTTGGGGTAGCGAGAGAAATACTCTCTGATCAAGGCACCAACTTTATGTCCAAACTGTTGAAAGAACTCTACAACATGATGGGAATCAAGGGAATACAGTCTACTCCTTACCACCAACAAACAAATGGACAAGTGGAGCGATTTAATGGAGTTCTTGTGAAAATGCTGAAGAAATTTGTGAGCGATGAACCAGAAAGATGGGATATTTACTTGCCCTATTTACTCTTTGCATACAGAGAAGTACCACATGCATCAACAGGATTCTCCCCATTTGAGTTGTTGTATGGGACACAAGTAAGAGGTCCTATTGACATACTAAGTGAACAATGGATAACTAATGCAACTAGTCCAGAAAACATCATCACTTATGTAACCAAGATGAGAGAGAAGCTTGACTCAATGGCAGAACTTTGTAAAGAAAATACTGCAAGTGCGCAAGAAAAACAGAAGAGATATTATGATGAGAAATCAAGAGATATTGAATACACACCAGGTGAAACGGTCTTACTACTACTACCCTCGAGTGAGATGAAGTTAGAAGCAAAATGGCAAGGTCCTTACACTGTGATCAGACAACTCAACAAGGTCAACTATGAAATACAAGTAGATGAGAAGAAAACAAAGATGTACCATGTTAACCTACTGAAGAAGTACAATGAGAGAGAAAATGCAAGTTTCTTCTCCTATACGATTGATGAGAGAGATTTAGATGAAGAGTCTGCCACAGAACAATGGCCCATCATTAATGCTGACAAGATGACTAAAGCTATGGTTGATACATCAAATGATATATCCGAAGCAGAGAAAACTCAATTGACAAACCTCCTTAGCAGATATGATGATGTAATTTCTGACGAGCCAGGCCTTACTGATTTGGTTGTACATCACATCATAACGAAAGATGCAAAACCTGTAAGACAGAGACTACGACGATTTCCTAATGCATACCAAGAGAAAGTGAAAACTAAAATCCTCGAACTAGTTGAGAATGGTATCATGGAACCATCAAACAGTGAATGGGGATCAAATTTAGTTATTGTTCCAAAGAAAGATGGAGATATCAGGCTATGTGTTGATTTCCGTGACCTGAACAAAGTGACACAATTTGATGCATATGTCATGCCCAGAATAGATGTCATCATTGATGGACTGTCAACGGCAGTGTTTATATCTGTTATTGACCTTTGTAGAGGATTTTGGCAACTACCCTTGAATGAGGCTGACAAAGAGAAGACTAGTGTCCTTACGCCATTTGGAACATTCCAGTTCGTTAGAATGCCATTTGGACTGCATGGCGCCCCTGCTTCTTTTCAACGAGCTATGGATATGATGATCCAAGGATCTGAAGATTTTGCCGCAGCTTATTTCGATGATGTGGTCATCTTTAGTACACATTTTGAAGATCATCTTACACACATACAAGTTATAATGGAGAAACTGAGAAAACACAACCTTACAGTGAAACCATCAAAGTGTAAGTTTGGCTACAAAGAGATTGAATACCTTGGACACATAGTAGGAGATGGCAAAGTGAAACCAAGCAATTCTAAAATAGAAGCAATAGAGAAATTAGGAAAACTAACTACCAAGAAGAAGCTGAGAACCTTCCTGGGGATGACTGGATATTACAGGAAATTTATCCCAGATTATGCTCACTTAGCTTTTCCATTGACAGAACTTACCAAGAAGAGTGTACCAACAAACTTACCATACAGTAAAGAAGTAGATGATGCTACAAAGAAGCTGAAAGAAGCACTGGCTACTGAACCAATTCTGAGAAGTCCAGATTTTGGCAGAATGTTCATCGTGATAACTGATGCCTCTGAAGTTGGAATCAGCGGTGTATTGAGTCAAATATTTGACGATGGTGAACACCCTGTCATGTATGCCAGTAGGAAACTGCTTCCACGAGAGAGAAACTATGCAGTTATAGAAAAAGAATGCTTAGCAATAGTTTGGTCAGTAGAACACATGAGATATTACTTACTTGGTAAGCAATTTGAAATAGTCACTGACCATAACCCATTGAAATGGTTGAATGAAATGAAAAACACAAATCAAAGACTTAGTAGATGGGTACTCATTCTGCAGCAGTACAAATTTGAATTGAAACACAGACCAGGAAAGTACAATGCAGCAGCTGATTGCCTATCCAGGCTATAACCTGAATGTGATATTGACATTTAGAAGCTGAATTTGTAAATTGACGGAAAGAAGGAAGAAGTACTTTTGCATTTGGAAAATTCATCCAAATTAATTTTTAATTTTATCGTTGCAAGTAGCAGGATTTATGTTTTTAAAATGACAGCTTGTCTGAGTAACGACAAACTCAAGAAGGGGGAGATGTAATATAAATAAGAAGAGAAACTTACTACAAGGGCTAAATTGCCTCAATACCAAGTTATTTTAAAGGTAACCAGAGATTTAAAAGGGCTAATTATTATGCTATAGAGGCCAAACTAGTCAGTTGAGCCCAGGTTGTCCACATGTAAAGACATAGGCAGTTGAAGATTAGTTTTAGATATAATTTTAGGTGTGCACACTTTAGATAAGTTAGATAATCAAGATAAGTTACAAATTACAAACGAAAGAAACATCTTACCAACAAGGAGACAAGAACAACATGCTAAGGTAATTTTTCGTTCACACATCCAAAGAAAGTTTTGTCACCTAAGAATTTTAATATCAGGTTAACTGGTTTATTGGTACCATTCATATTGTTATCGTTACAGTTTTTGCGATGCATTCAGTTTCAGTAACAATTGGATACTCTTGGAGGAGACATTTTGTCATGTTAATGCCATGTTATATGTAAATGTGTGATTTTCCAAATGGGACAGTATCTTTTCCATTCAATCGAGGTTGGGCCATGCAGCCGAAGGTAAGCCATACAACCGAATTTTGCCGATTCAATCTGACGGAGAATGTCGAACCTCCCGTTTTGACCAATTAGAGACGTCCTCGTCACATTCATGGTACCCTCGGCCTACTTTGTTTGCAAAGAAAATCTTCGGCAGAATCCGGCTTTTCTTGAGGTATCTTCGGTTGCAAGCCAAAAGTCGACACCCATTTCCAAATATATCGCTTTATCAATTTTTTATCCACTTTAAGCTTCCTTGTTGTGTACACATACAAAATGGGTACACAAACTTGACTTCCCAAGTCTTGACTGGCCAATGGCTGATTTTCCTAAACTAAAGTACCCTCTTGAAGACAACGTAGCAGAGAATGCAAAGGAAGAGCAAAGGTGCCTTGATCAGGTATGTTGAATAAGAATGTGACTTGTTTTGTTACCAGGGATGAGATATTGTTATATCCACTGTTATTTTCATTACCGGCATTTTAGTATTCAGTGTCTATAGTATCTGTAACATCTTACAGATGTCACACTTTTGTTATTCCTGTCAGATGGTGACTTTTTCATGTTTATGCTTCATTATTATTTACATTTGCAATTCAATGGTGATCAGGTACATACTTAGGGAAAGGTTTCACTCTGGAAGAGATAGTAAACATGGAGTTTTGGAAACATTTGCTCTTATTTATTTATTTATTTATTTGCCACTATATTTGAAGGTGGCTGAGTTGTTTGATATTTACAACAAACGTGGCAATGATGTAGCTGGTGTTATAGTTGAACCCATACAGGCAGAAGGTGGAGATAACTATGCATCACCCAACTTCTTCAAGGAGCTCCAGAAAATAATCAAAAAGGTATATTTGAAACAAAAGTTAAATTGAAATCAAAGCAGACTGTTCAAAATGTTACAGATCTGTTATTAGTCAAATGTTTTGATATTTCACTATAGTCTACTAATACAATTGTATTGTAGATAGATATTTTCCAATAAATTCTTGATACGATCCTTTTCTTGAACAACTAGATTGCCCATCTGAACTTGTTAAGATTTTCTGGAAATGCAAATTCTTTCCAAAACAAAAAAACAGAACCATAAAACAGAACAGAACTGCATCATGGTAAGCCACGCCAACGCCCTCTCCATCTCTATCCTTCTGGATACATCTGCGATGCAACAGAGAGAGACGCTATGAGTATCAGAATGACAGAACTGCAGAATTTAGTGGAAATTGCTTAAGTATATGTGACAGACCCTTAAGTTGACTCTTGTAGAATAATAGCTACATGGTGGTCGATGAGGTCCAGACTGGTGCAGGGGCCACAGGTGAGATGTGGTACCATGAAACATGGGGCCTACCCACCCCACCGGATGCAGTGACCTTCTCCAAGAAGATGATGTCAGGTGGTTATTATTACACAGATGAGCTAAGACCAACTGAGGTGAGCACATATAAAACCCACTTAAAATGAGGCATTCCAAGCAAGTTGGGGCATCATAGGCATAGCCAGCCCCCCCCCCCCCCCCTCATAACCAATAAAAATAAAACCATGAGAAAGAAGATTTAAAGCTTGTAGCTCAATTTTGAAGGAAGTTGCATCAACTTTTGTTTCAAAATAAATCTTATTTTTTTGCCTAGTGCCCACAATCGCATCCCCCCCACACCAGACTGAAACCCGAAATTGACTAAAAGCTGACTAGGCCCCTGCGGTCTTAAACAGTGTATTCCATTTGTTGTGACATATTCAAAATCTACCTGTCCAAAACAGTCTGGTTGGTTGATAAGGTGAATGTGGTCTTAAGAATATTGGAGAATATTCAGATTCATTCAAAAACCTTTCACATAAATATGGGCCTCCCACACCATAAATTTCAGCCTTTCACTTCATAAAGATGGGCCTTTCACATCATAAATATGGGCCTTCCACACAATAAATATGGGCCTTTCACATCATAAATATGGGCCTTCCACATAATAAATATGGGCCTTTTATAACATAAATATGGGCCTTCCACAAAATAAATATGGGCCTTTCACACCATAAATATTGGCCTTCCTCTTACACACCATTATTGCTTCATTATATAGGGCTACAGGGTGTTTAACACATGGATGGGGGACCCCAGTAAAGTATTGTTCTTAGAAGAAATGATTGAAATCATGAAGGATGAGGATTTACTAGCAGAGGTGACTAGAGCTGGAAACAAACTAGTGGATGGCCTTAATGAAATACAGGTTTGTAGTGTACCCTAAATTAGCTAATTTCAAATCAAAATAGGTAGTTAAGAATGAAATACAGGTTTGTAGTGTACCCTAAATTAGCTAATTTCAAATCAAAATAGGTAGTTAAGAATGAAATACAGGTTTGTAGTGTACCCTAAATTAGCTAATTTCAAATCAAAATAGGTAGTTAAGAATGAAATACAGGTTTGTAGTGTACCCTAAATTAGCTAATTTCAAATCAAAATAGGTAGTTAATATAACCTCTTGGATCCCAGGCTCTAAAATTGGTTGAAACCAGAGAATTTTGAATTTTTGACACCTTTTGACATCTTACTCCATAGGCTACCTATACAATGTTAGATGCTAATCTTAGCCAAGATAGGCATCAGAGATCATTTCTAAACATTTTAAAACAATTTTTGTGTAAATTGGGTGAAAAGTGTTCAAATCAGAGCAATTTTAGTGAAACATTTTGTGACAGATTTTCTCATCACTCTGGGTAGTCAAGAGGTTAAGAAATTGCTGCACTACATTTTAAAGCCATCATCATTTTGAGGCTGACATTTGATGGTCAGAATTTGTAACATATTGTTACAGTTTTGTAACCATTTGCAAAGAACTACCAGGTGGTGACATTCTGTGATGTTAATCCTATCTGTTATATTTAAAAGCTAGCAAGAGGAGGAAAAACCCCACGATTCAATTGATGACATACAATTTCCTCCTTCGCGCACCTCCTTTCCCGGAAATACTTAGCCTCCATCTTGGTTTTCAAAGTTTTCAAATTGACCTAGTTTCAAACCAATCAATGATAGATTCGCTAAACCAATCAGCGACGATGTCATCTCAATACAGATTTACATTATAAGCGTATGTCATCTTTGAACCCCCTCTTAAAGCTAGCATTCAAATTTTCTACAGGGTCGTCACCCAGATGTGCTCAGCGCAACACGGGGAGGGGGTGTATTTGTAGCTGTCGATTGTAAAGATGCATCCTTCAGGGACAAACTTATTGCACAGCTTAGGAATGCAGGTATGATGTCCCTTATACAGTGAAACTTGTAAAGTGGAATACCTCTGTTAGTGGAACACTTTTCAGAGTCCCAATACCAACTGATTCAATGTTAAATAAACCTGTATAAATGGAACACCTTTGTTAGTGGAACACTTTTTAAAGAAACCAAAGGTGTTCCCCTGAGATCGGTTTTACCATATTTATAAGACCTCATTTAGAGCAATAATAGTGTATTTTAATAGATGGCAGTAATGTTTTATCTTGAGCATATAACAGGATAGTGTACATAATTAATTCTTCAGATCTATATTCAAAATATTTCGTTTCAGGCATTCACACAGGAGGATGTGGTGATAACTCGTTGAGGTTTCGACCGATGCTTATATTTCAAGAGAAACATGCCAACATTGCATTAGACACTTTCGAAACAACATTGAAGAAACTTCTTTAAATTAACTCTTTGACACAGTCAGATGAACACAGATCGCTGATATTTGAGATCGTAAAGTGGTTGCTGGTCACCTAGAAATAAGAAATGTTATGCTTTGATTGAAAGATATCACCTGCTCAAAGTGACTTTTCAAAAAATAAAAAATAATGCATCAAATAACACATGTGGGGAAATGTGTAGTTCGGGAGGGGCTTACAAGGGCTTGAAGCTAGACTGCGTCAAAGAGTTCAAGTCTGAAATTTCACAGGTTTTTCAGCTAAGTCATCAACATTTTGATCAACTTAACACATGTTAAGCCTAATAGAAGGGTAAACACATTGTTTTGAATAACTGAGCTTTTTTGAGTTGTTGTCAAATCAAAACGAGGAAATATGACTACGCAATCAACAATGTCAAAGAGGACTGGCTCCCATGATGCACCACAATGTTCATTCATCCATCTCCAGAGGTTCGGCATTCAGTGACCTGTTTTTAATCAATAGGCTTATTTCATGTCCTCAAAGCAATTTCATGTCCCTCAAAGCAATTTCAGTCACTCAATTATCATGATTATGTGCAATGAGTAAGATTATTGAAGAATTTAATTCAGGTATTATTGCTTATAATGGACAATCATGGTGTGAAAGTATATGCACCTCAATTTGTCACATCCTTCTTCAAAGGACTTCATTTATGCTTAAATATATACTTGCAGCAAGGATGAATTTGTCATTAAATACATGTAGCTTGCTTCAGTTAATGTGTTAAATAGTAGACTTGCTATTACAACATTTTAAACCAACATGAAATCATTGTAATACATGTTTTTAAATCATGGTCTGTAACAGACAATTAATAGGGCGATAGAAGTGATTTTAAAATAAAGATGTTAGGGTAGAATGTAATAACATTTACCAGTGCTGCCATCTTTATATTTGACTAAAATATATTGTTTGCAATAAATAGGTTTCTCAATCCCAGGATAAATCCAAGCTGGGAACAAAGGATGGTTTAAGTCAATTTAAAACACTTATACAATTTAAAACACCAATAAGAGAAATTAGAAATAAGAAGTGTAAATATGACTACCACCCGCTATGGCTCAGTGGCAGAGAGAGTCAAGATTACCAATATCGCTTGGCCCCGGGTTCGATTCCCGGTTCAGACAAGTTGTTTGTGCGTTATGTAATTCTGGGTGTTTGACTGAGTGGTTCACGACTCGTATACAAGGCTGTGGTGTGTACCTGTATGTCTGTGTACCTGTGCACATAAAAGAAAACAGGGTTCCTTCAAGGAGGGGTTTCTGGCTCTATCTTCGAGTGTAAAAATACGTAATTTACGGAATATACCAATGAGGTATTGCTCGTCAAAATATGGCGGTAACCAAGATATAATAATAATAATAACTACACCCCCAATCCGCACTATAAAATCACGGCATCGTACGGTACATAAAGAGTATGGTACCGCGCGATACCGTTGGAGTTTAGTGCCATACAGTATTCACGGTACCGTACAGTGTCGTTTTAGTCTATGGTACTGTACAGTACCATATTTCAGGGTACCGTACAGTACCATTTCCAAAACTGTACCATACAATACTGACTGTATACCAATCTCACATTTTGGGGTCGGATGAAGAAAGTATTGCCATATATGGCTACTAGTTATATAAGATGTTAGTTTTCATCATCCATTAACAGTTGCCAGAAAATACAATAAGCCGGGTGATTTTTGAATCATTATTGAAAGAATATATCGCTTATCTGTATATTAGATATGTGATGTCGCAATAACTAAAGCAATCGATTTACTGGTCTACAATGGAATATGTATGACTAGTTTCCATTTTAGACCAGTAAATATAATGCTACCATATTACCATTATATACTTTTATAATATTAGAATAGTAACAAAGACCTCAATTCTATGATTCATGGCAAAATATGACCTCAGATTTTATTCAGCCATTGCAAAAGATGTCATATACAAGGTGAGGCAAAGAATGTTACCCATTCTGTTTGTACACCACTACAATGAGGGTAACATTTTTGGCCCACCCTGTATTTTACTATAGATCATAGAATCTTTATTCCTTTATTATACAAAGTTTATATTAGTGTAGAGAAAAATTATTATATTATAATCATAAAAGAGCTTATTTTTTATCATGATCTTAAAATCATGTTGTATATATTTGGCTAACATTTCTTGATGTTAAATGCTGAAATGAAAGGAGAGAGTCATCATATTTAGCAGTCATTTTATGTCATTTTTGATTTTGCTGCATTTCTACGCATATTTGCTATGGTTGTCTTAAAAATTCCACATTAAATTCTAGATGTATGATTATTTATATGTAAATGTTTTAAATGTGAGAAAAGATTGCTATGCCATCTATAGTTTTCTATAGTTTGTATTCAATGCACTGCTTTTGGAATAAGTTGAATAAAGCTTTTGCTAGAGAAAACACTATCAATGGTATGTGTTAAGATTTCAAACCTTTAGCACTAGAGGATCACAAAAAGTATAATTTTACCAATTATGCACTAAGGTCCATAGTCAACTTTTACCAAGGGGTTCAGTTGATTTTTATTGCATCAAGATTCCAAACAAGCAGACTTACTTCAAGTCCAGGGGATTTGATGATTTTGGGTCAAAATCACTTGTAAATTGCCAAAAAAAAATTGGCCAGGGCAGGTACCCTTGAAACCCCGGTACCCCCCCCCCCCCCCCCCCCCCCTGGCTACGGGGCCTGGCACTTAATGAGTCTTCACATGTAGAATCTAAGGTGAATCATAATAGACCGCACCTGATGGTCTAATATTGGTTGGTTAAGTTTATTGTAATGAAAATTGTTTGAGACGCTTTATGGTATCAATATACATTTGAATTGTATTGGCCAATATGAATGTTTTGCAATATCTTTATTTGTTACTTTTTTGGTTCAATTGATACACTGTGATTATTTTTGTGTCATTTGACTAAATTATGAGGATGTTTTTATGAATTTGGGCATTCAAAGATTGTTGTGACATTCAATAGCAATTTTGAGTGCTATACAAGGGTTGTCCCAGAAGTAATGCACTATATGCTCTAACTTTCTTCAATATTCTTCAATTCAGCTGAAATTTGGTGTATATAACATGTACTAAATTACAAACAGTTGATTTTACAAGTTTATAATCATGGTTTACTGGAATTTTTAAAATAAAGTCATTGTGTTCTCCAAAGTTTGAATCTCCAATCTTGTACAGCGCCATTCCCTGGGACATGTTTCACTACATAACTTTTAGAAGATAAGATGAACATTAAAGGCATGATCAAAATAAATAGGTTTTAAAAATGGAGCAAGTTTTTATTTTTCCCTTGAACAAAACATTGTGTCATCACCTATAGAACATTTCTTTAAATGACTTTGAAAATATATCATTTGAGGTAACATTTAATTTCTTTTAATGTGTGTTGATGCCTGAATATTTATCTTCAGTGCTAATCATGTTTGCAAGCCCGAAACGCCCTTAATACCACTGTACAGTGGAACCTGTATATCCTACACCCCTCTAAATCAAATATGAACACTTTTCTGGTCCCAAAGTTTTGATCTCCATTTGTCTTACATATTCAAAAACCTTGAAATATAAACACCTGCTAATCTGAACACTTTTTGCTGGTCCCTGTGGTGTTCAGTTTGGACAGGTTTTACTGTATATAGAGTAGGAGCCTAGTGCTACAACAAAAAAGCAATTAAATTTTGATCATAATTTATTCAGTAATTTATTCCTCTTAATTTTAAACCTTCTTTTATGAGATCATTCTCCTTAAACCTGATTTTCCCTTGAGCAATCCATTTTATGAGCAACTTTGATTCAGTTTGCGTCATTAAGTATTCCTCGTTCCATCTTTCTACTGTAAATTGTTCTGTTGATTCAGTTTCAAGATCAAAACGTTTTGGTGGGGGACACCCATAATGGTCCTGCTTACTTTGGTGAATTTCCGTTTGTTCACCAAGTTTTTCACGTTTGAGATTTTCATGCATTTTGGAGCATGCATAGCACTCAAATCCAGCTGTCCAATGGTAATATTTGCGATTGCCTGTGTAGCCCCACTCTCTGTTTTTGACTCTATCTATTAGATATTTGTTTGTTACACCCTGCACCTTATGCTGCATATATTTTGCATATTCTTCATCATTTTTGTTGAGATGATGGATGAAGTCAGCTAGTTGGCTTATATTTTTATAATCTTGAATTATTATTGCAGATGGATCATTCGGTAGAAAATCCTGTAAGAAATCAACCAATCAATTAATCAAGCAATAAATCAAGCAAACAAACAATTAAATAAGTAATGAACCAATTTTTCTATACATTACTGAAATTACCATTAGATCGAATGAGGTCTCTTTTTCACTCTTTGTCTTATACATTATCTCTATTTTCTTTGAGTCTATGGGTACCCAAAACAAATGAAACAACTCACAAATAAAGAACTGTAAAATACTCAATATATACTGTGGTAAACTTCTACATAGTTGGGAGACTGTCACTCCTATAAAGCTTTTCTATTACAACAGTTCTGGATAGTCTGGAGAGTTCCTTCAAAAATGCTTTGATATTGCCAATTTTTGGCTCACACAGTGTTTGAAAGTCAGGATATAATGTACAGGGTGGTCCAAAAAAAATTGGAACATTTGTTAATTGAACACAAAATCTTTATTTTTTTCTCTAAAATGCACCAAAACTTTTCTGAGAAGAGTTAAGTCACTTTACTATCTGATGTAAAGTTTATAGTTGCATACACAAAAGTTAATGCATTGAACTAGTCAATGTTTGATATGAGCCTTTTTCTCATGAATTACAAGTTAAAGTCTGGGGCTCATATTTGTAAATATTCAATTTGTTTGTTGTTTGTTTTTCCAAGCAATATTGACTAAAAAATTCAGTTTGATCAACCTACCTATTTGTTTGCCTTGGAAGATCAAATCTAGTAACATATTCAACATTTTTTACCCAAATTGATTGGTATCAAGCATATTTTGATGGCTATTGTTGGGTGTATTACTGATTGAATATGATTTTATAATATGTTTATAGCAATCAACATGTTCATTAAAGCTTTGAAAGAAAGAATACTTGAAAAAGTAGCGGTGAAATTGACACATGTATATTTAAGAAAAGGGGGTCATATCCAACATTGACTGGTTTAATGCATTACCTTTGTGGTTTTCACCTATAAACTTTACATCAGATAAATAAGTGACTGAACTACGATCAGTAAAAGTTTAGTGCATTTTAGAGGAAAAATAAAGGGGTTGCGTTCAATTAACAAATGTTCCCTGTACATTCCTTTGAAGGTTCCAAACTGTATGAGCACAGGACCGTGGGTCCTTTTTTCAAACAAAGACGACCAATCAAGTCATTTGAAGAAACGCTGATCGTTGTTGACAACAGTACCTTTATTTTAGGGGAGCCAAAATAAATTGGCACTGAACCTAAATGTATAGTTCTCCAGAATTTCTCCGTCACATAGTCGTCACACACAGCGTTTTCCATGGCCAATGTGAATTTATATTTGGCCATCAATTTGAAGAAGTCTTTATGCTGCAGCTGTAGAAGCCCGTCAATGCTACAACAGATAAATAAATTGCATTGAACTTTATTGTCAGCCCCCTCCCCCCGGGTTTCATTTCCTCCCCGCTTTTCTCAAGCTCCTTCCTTCACCTTGATTTCAACCTCCTTTTCAAATTACATTTCTTTTCCCTTTATCATCTCTCAATTTCAATGATCCTGCCAGCGTTCCAAACTACTTGTATCTCGTTCATCCTTTTTATCGTACCTATAAAAGGTACGATATTGTCGTCAGCTTGTTCCCTTTCCCCTTGCTATACATGTACCTCTCGATCTCCACTTCAATATGCAATTTGGGATATGAGAGAACAGGCAGTGACCCATGTTTAGAACCCATAGTAGACTTCATGCAGCTGAAGTCGGACTTGACTTATACTGACATTGATTATGGACTGTCCTTAATGTCAATATACAGTTCAAGGTTGTGATATGTAAGCACAATGACCAAAACGGGGCACAACCAAAGTAACACCACAGATAGGGAGGGGTGTACAAAGGCTCTTACTATAAAATGCGTTTAAAAGAAATATCGTAATGAACGAGGCTTGCCCAACTAATTTGTCCTGCAACTAAAAGTTTTTATTATTCAGGGTCGGGTTTGAGTTAATCACTGTCATGTCCAGGACTTAACGGACAACCCTCGTATTACTGATCGAAAACCTACTGTGGCGGCATCTTTTTATTGTTTTGACATTTCCCATATGCGTCCACTGGAATGTATTTCTGCAATGCTTTAACAAAAGCATCTCTATCCGAGGGGACGTTACAGTCACTGTGGACGTAAACTATGGGAGCTAGACCCTCTTTGGCTAGAAGCTTGTTCTTCTCTTGCAATGGGATATAATATTTTCTGAAAGCACACACAGATATATTAGGCGAATCTTTATCTCATATTTCAGTTGTGCGAGACAAATAAGTAGGCTATAGTATCTTGAAGACCAAAGAAGAGTCGTAATATCTTTTGAGATGCAAACTCAACTTCCGACAGACCTGAAAGTTGATCATAGCAGCGTAGCAAAAAGTATTTCAGTTTAAATCCCTTCTTGAATCAAGAGGGCATTTTTGAAATTTTTACCCAGTTTTGTTGAAACAACTGAATATTTTTCTCCAGACAATAAATTATATAACAATTCCATTTTGAGGAGGGTGCACCAAGCTCCGTCCCCTTCGGATCCGCACAAGTGTAACGATTTGTAAACGAGGAATGTCACATGGACAACCTTTCATTACTTTGATAGAGATTAAACAGAGACATACAGTATAAACCATGTTTTATATGTCTCTGGATTAAAGTACAAATCAAACTAAGTCATACTTTGTTTGCAGATATTCTATGTCCTCGACATCTTGGGTAGTGATGGGGTAGTCAGACTCCCTCTTGAATGTAGAGGTGTAGTTAAACATGTGCATTATCTCAGGGTGGGAGAACCAGTATCTATTGTTCTTCGGTGATTCATTGTGAAGGAGTCCCCATTCGTGCTTAGGGTGCCTTGGTAAAGGTAACTCATTCATAAGCATGTCAGTTCCGTAGAACATCAGAATCTGAAAGAAAATAGGGAAATAGATTGTAGGTGATGTATACAGAAATGCAGTGTCGCAACCTCCGGGACAAATCATCATGGACGAGGTTCCTTAACTTTTGTAGCATCAATGTACAAAACAAATCAACAAATGATTTGGTTGTCCACGCTCAAAAAAACTTACTTATCACTATGGGACCAGGGGGTAGAGAGCTAGGGGCCCACTCAAAAAGTAAACAATCAACTTCTCACGATAAAAGGAGGTCGCAAAAATCGAGTTTATTGAGACTTATTACATAGACGTGAAGCTATAGTCAAAGTTATAACAAATCTATAGAAAAGTGCATACTCTTGTCAAATCATGGTCGAAGTATTCTTTGTCATCTGTGATGTAGCACTTCACGTTCCCACAGGAAACATACTCCCCTGGACGTTTGCCAGGGCTATAGGTCCACCATAGTAGAATTGGATGTTTAACGTCATCACCGAATCTGTCTTTCTTTTGACTTTTCTTTGTATTGGGGACACTTTCTTTATTTAACTTGTTTGCTGTTTCTTTAAGTGTGTTGTCAGCAGTTTTTTCATTTGTTTTGTAGGAACCGTCTTCTTTTGCTTTGTGGGCAGATTCTTCCTTTGGTTTACCAACAGTGAAATCGCTAGTCATTTCGTTAGTCGTTTTAGTTTCTGCTGCAATTCAAATGTATTGTATAATAAAAAGTTGGAATGGATTGAATTTACGAAATTATTCGGCGCATTCCAATATAAATTATAAATAAATAGAATAAGAATCAAAAACCGCACAAAAGGCAACTTTAGACGTACAAAATGTCACCACCACCACTAGTTACAGACGCCAACCGCCGACCGCCGTCACAAAAAAAACGGAGGCCATAACAGGGGCGGATCTGGGAACCAACAAGGGGGGGGGGCCAAACTTGTGGTCTGAGAAAAAAACTTCCGCGCTTGCCCGGAAAAAATTTTGGGCCCCATAAACCCAAAAGTGGGCCCAAATTTTGAAATTTTGAGGCCCATTTTCTTCAAAATTTGGCCTAAAATTAACAAATAAGGCCTTACAAGGCCAATTTATGACCAAAAAGGCCTACTTTTTGGGGCCTTAAAGCCTTTTTAGGCTCAAAATTTTTTTTGGGCACAATTTTTTTTTTCTGGGCCCACCCAAGGGGGGGGGGCGGGCCCCTGCCCCCCCCCCATATCCGCCAGTGCATAATATGTTACCACTTTTTGGGGTGACATAAAAAACTGTGAAATGAACATTTCTAAATGTTATTGAAGTACAATATATATATCGAACTCCCATGCAGTGTCTCGGTATTATGCTTTTCTTTTGAATGATTAATTTAATTTGTATGTTTTATATGTATTGTTGATACTGTTTACACAGCTTTGTACAGCTGGAATATTGATACGGTATGATAACAATAAAATTTAATATTGTGAATATTGCTAACAATTATATAGTATACTATATGTACTTCGGACACGTTGTAGTTTGACTTTCGTGTTTTGTTTCTAATTTCAAATATTGCTCTTTCAGTCCGATTGACTAACGTTTCTGTGGAGAAGAATATATATATATATATATATATGTGATGAGCTCATTCTATCCAAACTGTGCTTGGCCACACTGACAAATTTCACTTGTTTTTTTAAAGATCTAGATAAGGGCATAATTACAGTACGTGTGCTTTCCTGAAAACTCCACATTTCTTTTTGACGATATGGTCCTTGATGCTTTGAGTTCTACTATGTGAATGCCATGACATCATGTTTTGAAACACAATATATAAAAAGGGAGGGGAAATAGCAAGGAATAAAGTAAATAGACATGAAGTCAATACTCCCAATTGTATCGAAATACCAGGAAATCAAATTTTAGAGAGAAATGTGGAATATGAATTAGCCATTTTAGCAGACGATATTTCAACTCAATTCAGCTTTATTGAATTGAATAGCAGACGCCATTGCATTTTTTATTTGAATTGATTAGCAGATGATATTTAATTTACAATGTACAACCTGGCACCCATATATCTAAGGAGGGACACACATTCAGAAGAACGAGTCGCCAAAAGTCTCCCATTGTACACGTACCTCTTCCTGAAAGTACATTGGTGATATTTGATTTTCTGAATTGAGATGTTTTGTTGGGGTTTACTCGACTGGTGTTTCGTGATATATGATTTACTGAGGTTTGTTCGATTTTCAAATTGCACATGAGCCCCTTATGTTACTAAAATATTTTAGTGGTAGCTGGCTTTATTCGTTGATATGGTTTTAGGCTTATTATATAGTATAGTAATGTTGCCCATTGTGCTCTTACATCTGAAATGGCGATTTGTCGATTTTTAGTGCGGTTATCTGCGAACATATCCAGCTCTGATATATGGACCAAAAGTGATTTATGATGACTTTGGAAAATTAGGTAGGTTTTTCACAGGTGTGGAAGCCTTGAAGTAATGAGGTGTGGGCTTTTCCCACTAGGCGTTCACTTGTGTGTTAGACCCAACTCTTAAATCATTGGAAGAGAAAGAGAAACTCCGCACTATTAAAAAGAAAATTGCGTTAACGATGAACTTTATAAACACCGAGGGTCTAAATATGAATTTTTTCTCGTAATTTGTCCAAGGTTTATTTGTTCTTTTCAATCAAATTGAGTTCCTGGTTCTCACAATCAATTATGACAACGGCCATGTGGAACAAAATGTCCGATCGAATTTATTGCGTCGATTCGTGGAATGCGGATAGATAAAAACAGAAAGACGTGATTTTGACCGTCCGAGTAATCACACATTTTAAACAAGTCTCGGAATTTAGAATATACTCATTCGAATATCTGTGTGTAGTTCGGGTAGAGTGAATAATGTGCTCCCATTCCACCAAAATGTTAATTGATTGAATTCAAAGAAAAGTTGCTTCAGAACAATGTAAAAAGTCAAGGTTGGGCTACAATCAATCTAAATGATTAATAATTAGCCTGTTTTACCAGAATACCAGATATTTTGTTTTCTTTTCCAGACTTCAATTTTACTGTTTTATTTAAATATTCAGAGTGTTTCATAATACACGTTGTCCATTTTCATTTCGTAGATGGCAAACTCAATATTATGAAACACCCTGTACACGTACAACGTACACGTGATATTCGTTTCGGTCATATAAACTAACAGAGACCAATAATACATATTTTATACATTTATTTTTATACATAAAGTAAATGCATTACACAAGATCCACCAAACTTTTTTATAATGTTAAGATTCATTATTGTGTCAAATCTCAGTGACTGTTATATTTCAAGTTCAATAGCCATAATCTCTACTCACCGATATTTTGGAATGTATCTACTGCATGCAGATCATCGCTTCGACCCTCGACAAGAATCTGAAACAAATAACCAGGTTGAAAACTAAATCAAAATTGAATTTTAATTAATAAAGCACAACCCATCAGTTCATTCAATGTTGAATTGTCTTGCATCAGTTCATTCAATGTTAAATAGTCTTGCATCAGATCATTCAATGTTAAATAGTCTTGCATCAGTTCATTCATTGTTAAATAGTCTTGCCTTAGTTCATATAATGTTGAATAGGCTTGCATGAGTTCATTCAATGGTGAAAAGTTTTGCTACGATTCATTCAATGTTAAATAGTATTGCATCAGTTTATTCAATGTTAAATAGTCTTGGATCACTTCATCCAATGTTGAAGAGTCTTACATCAGTTCATTCAATGGTGAATAGTACTGCATCAATTCATTCAATGTTGAATAGTCTTGCATCAGTTCATTCAATGGTGAATAGTCTTGCATCAGTTCATTCAATGTCAAATAGTCTTGCATCAGTTCATGCAATGTTGAATAGTCTTGCATCAGTTCATGCAATGTTGAATGTCTTGCATCAGTTCATACAATGTTGAATAGTACTGCATCAATTCATTCAATGTTGAATAGTCTTGCATCAGTTCATTCAATGTCAAATAGTCTTGCATCAGTTCTTGCAATGTTGAATAGTCTTGCATCAGTTCATGCAATGTTGAATAGTCTTGCATCAGTTCATACAATGTTGAATAGTACTGCATCAATTCATTCAATGTTGAATAGTCTTGCATCAGTTCATTCAATGTCAAATAGTCTTGCATCAGTTCATGCAATGTTGAATAGTCTTGCATCAATTCATGCAATGTTGAATAGTCTTGCATCAGTTCATACAATGTTGAATAGTATTGCATCAATTCATTCAATGTTGAATAGTCTTGCATCAGTTCATTCAATGTTAAATAGTCTTGCATCAGTTCATGCAATGTTGAATAGTCTTGCATCAGTTCATGCAATGTTGAATAGTCTTGCATCAGTTCATACAATGTTGAATAGTCTTGCATCAGTTCATGCAATGTTGAATAGTCTTGGCAGCATCTGTTATTTCACAATTTTATTTGGTTGAAATTTTGTGTCAGTACATACTGTGTATAAATAGGACGACTCGTATGTGGCCTGGAGTTAAGCCAGATGTATAGTGTAAATAGAGAAATAAAACGTCATCATTGTAAAAACATTAATTAATTGTTCTCAGTTCTTTTCTTATCGACTTTTTGTTACAATTAACTAGACTAATATAAACAATTGGATATTGTTACACGATGTTCTCGAGCAGTAAAGTAATCGCGAGAAGCATTGAACTGAATAATCACGCGGTACAAACTTCGACCGTTAATTTGAATTTTTGACCTACCAGATGCTTGAAAATCAAGGATTGCGAGTCTCATACTGCACCGTTTTTCTTCAAACTTATACCATTAAAAGCAAAACAAAGTTGCCTTTCTGTCGGTGCATTACTTTATTGTAAAGAGTCCCTCGTTCAAGCAGCGTTTTGGTCCCCAGCTGTTAGAAGGCCTTCTTACAGCTGGGGACCAAAATGCCGCTGGAAGTAGGGACTCTGTTTAAGAGAATAATGTACCATCAGAAAGGGATTTTTGTGATGCTTTGAATGGAACAAGTTTGAAGAAAAACGGTGCAGTATGAGACTCGTAATCCTTGATTTTCAAACATCCGGTAGGTCAAAAATTCAAATTAACGGTCGAAGTTTGTACCGCGTGATAATAGCAGAGAAAGAATCATAGGGCCCAAACATGAAATAACAAACTCTATCTGGCATGTTAATCAAATATAATGCACACAGTAGCACAAGCGGCAGCATTCTAAAACAACGATCGCAAACTGTTAAATCAGTTCTGTTTCGACTTGGAATTGATAATGTGTTGAATCGAAAGAGATAATGCTAGTCTTGACGGTCTTGGCGAGTAGACCTGTGCCACTAGCCGTCTAGATATTCCGAGTTACGTGATTGTTGAATTATTTATTATGATCCATCATGTTCATCTCGCAATTACGCAACTACACATTGTGATATGCTCGTTGTAAAGTAATACTATTCGTAATTAAAGGAGCAGTTAGGCCAAATAACATTTTCTGAACGACTCCAACCTGAACTCTTGTCTCATCCTGATACTCATAGCATCTTTCTTTCGTAAGGGTGAGAAGAAATGCGATGTCATGGTTTATCATGATGCCCTTGCCCTACATTTTTGGCATCGTGATAAGCCACACCCTCTCCATCTCTATCCTTCTGGATAGCATCTGCGATGCAACAGAGAGAGATGCTTTAAGTATCAGAATGCATTTTTGGGGTTTTAAAACAGTTCACTGGGGTATCATTTTGAAATTATTGGTTAACATTATAATTCTAAATATCACTGACTTGGGAAGTAAGTCACGCCCTTCCCTCCTATATTCTGTCGCCTATATTAGAAGTTTTTAACATAGAGAATATAAGAGAGGGGGTGACTTTCTCCTGCCCTGCGTGCAGAGTCTAGTTAAACTAGACGAAGACAAAGCTCTCTTTTAAGAAGTGAAGTCAAACGAATGCAAAGGGTAACTTTCTCCCTGTGATCACTGACCCGTGCATTGTATTCATATAGGCACATATACAACAGGTGATTTAGGTATAGCAGCATAAAACTATTTGGGCATAGCTCCCCTTCAAGTAATAATAGCATAGTACAGTGTAGCTCCCATTTAAGTAATAATATTGCTCTTGAATCATCTTTATATATACTTGAATTATCTTTATGCTAAATTTTATTGTACCTGTAATGCAATTTTAGATGCCATCCAACATATTAGAATGGCCCCAATAAGAACTCCGCCATGCACCATTCGCCTTGCTATGAAGTGACGGAATGCCATTTTAGGACGTCTCAAGTTTGAAGATGTATACAACTTTTTATAAACTCATCCCTGTAGCACTCATCCCTCTAGCTCCATAATTCATGATATCGCCAAGCAGTAAAATCATACTGTATATGATATCCATTGAACATCAAAGTATTCATTGAATATTCGATCCTACGTTTGCTGCTGAATGATGACGTTTTCACGATTCCTTCCTTGTATTCTTTAAAACGGAAGTACGAATGTACGTCGTCTCTGAGGTCCGCAAGATATGGGCTTCTGCAGCATATCCACTTTTCTAACCTTATCTTACTTTCCCACTTCGTTGTGTACTAAGATGTAGGGCTGCCAACGTAAATATAGAAACAGTAATATTTGCTCAAATCTTAATAAACGATATATGTATTTACCTATTCAGATCATTCAGAGTTATATTACATTTTATGCGGGTTTGCACAGCCATAAAAATGTTTACAATTTATCAGATAAAAATCCAACGTGGCCTGTATTAGACTGCGGACTATTCTGTAGAAGTGCTCTAGAAATGGATCTCGCTTTTCATGGAAGGTCACACATTCCAACATATTTCAAACAATTTGTATGATTATAATAGACACTTTCTGGGTAGTTGGACTTTATGTAGGGGTGGCAGAAGGCCCTCAGGCCAATTTATACCCCTACCCCAACAAAACCTTGGGGGTACTTTAATACCACCCAATAAAAATAATACTAATGCATATCAGATATTCATCGTTTTATAGTGGGTAGGGCATGCCATGGTTAGTCAGTGCCAGAAATTTCCAATCTCTGACTTATATGGTTACCATGGAAAAAGTATTTATATCTCACAATCTTCTCAATTTGACCCCGTCCCAAATGTGTCCTTAAGTTCTCAAAGTGAAATATTTGCAAATCTGTTTGGATTTTGTGGCTGCAACTTTGTCAAAAGTTGAATTAATATGTATGTATTCACACTAAAGCACTAAAAACTTGATATAATGATCTCATAAATTAATAATATTTATCAAATGTAGTCACACACAACTGCTTTTAGGGAAAAGTGGGTGTGGCACTTTTTGGTACTTGTGTAATTGTTTCAGCATTAAATGAAAAATACTTATTATACTAACAACAATTGACATTTAATTAGCATCTACTAACATTGTGTAACATTGTAGTATGTTCATTATCATTATTAGATACTTTAAATATTTTATATAAGTGTTATCATGACCCTTCCCTATCATACACAATGTAGGTCATTAATGGTCAAATTAACTTTTAAGTCCTAGAGGTCCTTAGTCTTTTTAGCTTGTCAAAGTCGTATTCATTGACTTGAAGCTAGAATATAAATAGTTTCATTGATCAAGAGCTATGAGCTAAAATTGATTAATACATTTGTCAGGGTTAGAGCCATTTTATGCAATTGAAAAGTAATGGACCGACACTGATCAGTACCAAGTGAAGGTAACGGCCGTAACCTTCGCATCTAAGATGGCGGACAGTAATTGTCGATTTTGATATTTTTAATTTTCATTGAATTAAACTACTTTAGAGTTGATGTTATGCTTTACCCTTTGCATTCGTTTGACTTCACTTCTTAAGAGAGAGCTTCGTCTTCACTCTTTCAAACTAAAATAAACCTGTGAACTCACCGCGCCAATCAGTGTTCGTCGGCCAAATTTGACCGACGTTCTATATATGGGCATTCCTTCTGACGTCATCGTTGAGCCCGGAATTGACCAATGACATCCGCATATTTAATTAGAACGCATTTGGCATATGTTTCTTCAAGCTCGCTGATTGGTGGAAGAAAGGTCAGCACATAGGTCAGAAGTGATTTACTACCCAAACTGTCACCGGTACCCGTCGTGGGGGCGGGGCTACTAAACTGTAATATGGTCTCTACTAGGCAGAGTATAGTTTAACAAGACTCTGCACGCAGGGTAGTTATGCTTTGACATTTGCACCAAATCAGGCTTAAATGACATTGGAACCATAGATGTAATAAACATGAATAAACGATATGTGAAATGTTATGCCCTGCCTTAATACATAACTAAGATTTTCTCGGATAAATGGTGTCTTACATTTGACTAACTGATTCTATTATCAACATCAGGTAATGCATGATCTATCCAATGGATTAACGAAAATACTTGATTCCAATATGGCAAAATAAATTGTTCCATGTATGAATTGCATTGTGCATCATTTTGCAGATATTACATAATGCATTCATTGACTCATGGTCAACAAGGTACGGGTAAAACTCCTTTTAGTATTTCACAAAATAATGAAATATAAACAATTTACACATTTCTGAAATGCTGTACCTTTAGTGATTCCTTCGACCTGGAAAGTGGTTTGTTATGTTAACACTTAAAATAATATCTAAACAAATCTGTTTAGTGTATAAAAACAATAAAAGTTAATATGTTTAATATCAAATATTATTAGACATATGAATATAACCTAAAATAAGAAATCTTGTTCTCGTATTCCATTTTAAAATTGGTTGAATGATTTTGGCACAGTAGAAATGATGGTCATGATTAAATATTATATGTAATATGCCCTGATTCTGTAACATCAATGGTCCTTTATAATCAGGTATGACTGAAATACTGGACAAGATCTTATAAGGTTACAGTTTCCATATAACGTATGTTCCATATTACTACCCCAAATCTCCATTGTGTAAGTTTATGAGTCATTATCCCTCATAGTTTATTATGGCAAATGCCTATCCTTGTCTAGAATATGTCATTTTATCAATTTTATAAACAAGTATACAATTACACGCCCCCCCCCCCCCCTCCCACACCAAAACTCCATTTTCTTTATCAAATCTTTCTACCTCTATCTGTTATGATTCTCTGTCAGGCTTCCCCAATTTTCCATACTGTCAAGTAAACATCTAAATAGGATAGTTCTAGCTATCGCTGTTGTTTTGAAATGTTGACTTTTCTTGGGGAAATATTGTTTCAATTCTGACAGAAGTTTTTAGCCAATATCATTCAATTTATCAATATCCAAACGCAGGGTTTCAGAAAGTATGCATTTTGTTTGTGCCTGTATTTTCATCATGTGTACTTATTAAGACAGCTATATTTAAACGTAAATACATTAAAACATGATACATATAATCTTTTGACAATTTCTTCAGTAAAGTGGCCATTTTGAGAAATGATATATAGCTTGTACCTTTGTTTGATGCTCAACAAGATGTTCGACTGGATTTGCCTTTGTCTAATTCATATATATACCAAATACGAGAATCAGAATCTTATTCTACAAAACGGGTGTTCATGGAAGTAGCACTAATTATTGCATCATTGCTATAAATCGTGTGATTTGATTGGCTAATTCAGAACCATGTGACTAAAAATACCAGCGTATTTCACAACTCACTGAATTATTTCCATATTTAAAAGACGTATTGTCCAGCGTATTGCCCGCCTGGGGATTCTGACAACTGCACTTTCAATGATTTTTGCGAGATGTATTACCATCGCCTTATGGGCTGCGGGCAATACATATTGCAAAAATCATTGAAAGATGAACAGGTATTGCCCTCCATAGAATGAAATATTTGCTTAACATTTCTTACTGTTTCGGGCTTAATATCAATTTTGTTATAAACTGAACAAAGCGGCACCTTTAACATGCAGCTAATTCTCCCATCTAACCAAGAGAGCCTCTTTTAATATATCGAAATTTAAAAATTGCCTCTGATTCAATTTGTTCAATCAAATCTAAAATGGTAATACCTTTTTACTGCTTCGAACTTCCTTATATTTTATACCATTGGGGTAGGATGTTTGTCTCTTTCAATTAATGCTTTCACCAGAAACATGGATATCACTAATTTTGATTAATATTTAAAATGGTGTGCATGAATAGACCTGTGTATTTTATACCAAATAGAGACACTTCCCTGGAGAGTTTTAAATCTCTATATGTTAACAGCCTAGTTCCCACATCCCTTGTTGACTTTGCTTCCATATTTCCTGTGAAGCCGTGGAACAGTTCTCTTGTTCTTCACAATTTTCCATTTTAATGTAACTCAATGAATAAGGCCAATTCATATCACTGGCTTCCCTAGGTCATTTGAATTCCTTGCAATTTATAAATCAGCAATAAAGAATAATGGGTTAAATATCAAATAATGAAAAAGTTGCAAATTATGAGATTTGTTATATAGCTTCGAAATCTTGCTGAAGTGTACTTTAACTATAGGTTAACAGGCTAAATTCTCATTGAGATAATTTTAAAGAATCTTAAACATTGACTTATTGTTTCAGTGGTCCTATTAAAGTTCATGTGTACACAATCTGAACAACATCCAGTTTCAAACACTTCTGATTATCATCAAGTTTCAAACACAATCTGAACATCATCAAATTCAATGCAAATGCAGTTTTACTTTAATCCAACAGAACGAATATGGTAAATCAATAGACTAAGTGACACATGTCAAGTCAATGGTAAATACTTGTATCTAGCCCAACTAGCACAAGTGCTGCCATCTACCGACTAGTATCAATCCATCTATCCATATACATAGCACCTAATGAGGTCACGACTTCAAGTAAAGCTTTTTCCCTTGTCTATGGTAAAAAATAAGTTAAACAGAAAAGTTAGTTTGACACCATTGGTGATACCCACCTTGTATGGTATAGGGATAAAAGGAAAGTTCATGATAACACTTACATAAAATAATTTAAGTATCTAATAATGATAATGAACATATTACAATGTTACACAATGTTAGTAAATGATAATTAAATGTCAATTATTGTTAGTGTAATATGTATTTTTTGCTTAATGCTGCAACAATTACACAAGTTCCAAAAAGTGCCACGCCCACTTTTCCCTAAAAGTAGTTGTGTGTGACTATATTTGACAGATATTATTGATTTATTGGAGCATTATATCAACTTTTTAGTGCTTTAGTGTGAATATATACATATTTATACAACTTTTGACAAAGTTGCAGCCACAAAATCCAAACAAATTTGCAAATATTTCACTTTGAGGGCTAAGGGACATATTTTGAAAGAGGTCAAATTAAGAAGATTTTGAGATATAAATACTGTTTCCATGGTAACCATATAAGTTAGAGATTGGACATTTCTGGAACTGACTAACCATGGTATGCTCTGCCTACTATAAAACTATGAATATATGACATGCATTAGTATTCTTTTTATCAGGTGGTATTAAAGTACCCCCAAGGTTTTCTTAGGGTGGGGGTATGAATTGGCCTGAGGGCCGTCTGCCACCCCTACATGAAGTCCAACTACCCAGAAAGTGCCTAGCATAATCATACAGACTGTTTGAAATATGTTGGAATGTGTGACCTTCCATGAAAAATGGAAGTTGCAATTATCAGAGTAGTCCACAGTCTATATACCCATTGTGTTGTCGGATGAATTATGTTTCCCTTTTATCATAATTGTCAATGTGTTGGTTCAGTTGGTTGTTGTGATTGTAATCAGTCATTGCATATTGAATGGTGCTCAGTCAACCCATTCTGCATTTGTTGAAACGGTTGATTTGACCCGAGCGCAGGATGTAAAGTAGGGTAGGGTTAAAATAAGTACATGTGTGCATTTTGATACTCACAGCATCTTTCCCTGTTGCCTCGCAGATGTAGAGCCAGAAGGAAAGAGATAGAGAAGGCATGGGTTTTACCACGATGACATGTATTGTATGAGCAATTTAATTTAATAGTAGAGGCCATCGGAGTAATGCGGGTTCCGAAATATTATTTCTTATAGATTCACTGGTGATCCGCTCGATTACGCTAGTTATCGAAACGGTTCGTTTCGGTAACAAAATGTCGGAACGTCGAAGGTACGATTTTTCCTTTTTCTTTATTTCACGGTTGTAGGCAGAATCCCCACGACGTTTTTTTTCTCACAAACGTATATCAGAATCATATGTTTTAGAAAATGCACATGTACAGAAACGGTTTGGGTTAATAGTTTCTGTAACTTAAGTGAGGAATTAAATCGACGATTCGGTTGTCTTCTAAACTATTTGTTCGCAAATGTGTACATTTTCTTAAACATATGACACTGATACACGTTTGTTTTAAAAATGTCGTGAGAATTCTGCCTCCAACGTGTGAAATATGGAAAAAAGAAGAATCGTACTGTAGCTTCGATGTTCCGACATTTTGTTACCGAAACGAGCCGTTTCACGGTTGTAGGCAGAATCGAAACGAAACGAGCCGTTTCGGTAACCAGCGTAATCGAGTGGATCACCAGTGATTTCTCAGAACGTATTTTCAGAATATCGCCCCGTGCTGGGCTACCACGCCTTACCATCGCGTAAGCAGGCGTCACCGTACACAAATTAACTGCTTCGAAGCAAAAACTATGACAAGGGTTTAAAAAAATTAATTTGATGAAAACTAATACAATTCCATGTGAAATAAAAACAGCATTCTCTTAGAAATGGTTTTAACTTTCTGATTATGATAAACGTTTTAAGAGCACTGTTCGGATTTTTTCTGAGTGAATCGGCCCACATTATCGACCAGAGTGAAAAAAGGTTGTTTTTTCACATTTTGTTTGGTTATTATTTTCCCTACCGTCTGAGAGTATGGATTATTTTTATGAGAATATGTATTTGTTACTTACACATTTTAGAACGGGCGAAGATTCAGCAAACAACCATTCATTATGTATATTTAAAAAAGATCAAATTTGTACGGTGACGCACCAGCTGTACGGTGACGCTATGCTTTGATGAACTAAATGAGACTAAGATTGTATGAAATGGAAACTCTGGAGTATGATCATTTGTTCATATATAGTGCATGGGCGCTACAGTTCAACGATATCTTCCACAGCTTAATGGAAGGTTACTGGAAATCTATGATACGGTAAAGATCATGAAACCAAAAACTCTCTTGTTGCTATGTTATTGATGTTTTAAAACAAGGGATGTCACAAGTAAATCTCATCTTGCACGTGTGACTTTTTAGGATGAAAGATGCAATATCTTGAATGGGGTAAAGATGGTTGGTAGGCTATCTTTGTTAGTCATATGAGAAAAGCCTGGTTTAGTTCAAATGATACCAAAGCATTACGTCAACTTTCAAATAGTTAATTCCATGAAAACTAAAAATATCGAAATTAATACTTCCTGTCCGCCATCTTAAATGCGAAGGTGACGGCTGTAACCTTCGCTTGATACTTACCAGTGATAATGTACATGTAGATCTGACGCTTCTTTACCTCTTGTTCGAACAGTAAGCTTAGAGCACTTCATAAAATCTAAGGAAGCGTCACCGTACAGCTGATGCGTCACCGTACAGTTCTGATCTTTTTTAAATAAATACACTGAATGATTATTTGCCGAATATTCATCTGTTCTAAAATGTGTAGATAACAAATACATATTCTCATAAAAATAATCCATACTCTCAGACGACAGGGAAAATAATAACCAAACGAAAAGTGAAAAAACACCATTTTCTCTCGAGTCGATTATGTGGGCCGATCCAGTCAGAAAAAATCCGAGCAGAGCTCGAAAAACTTTTATCATAATTAGAAAGTTAAAACCATTCCTAAGAGAATGCTGTTTTCATTACACCCGAAATCGTATTTATTTTCATCTAATTAATCTTTTTAAAACCCTCATTATAGTTTTTGCTTCAACTCAGTTAATTTTCGTCACCGTACAGAAAACTGTGCTACTGTATTTTTTGACGCTGTACGGTGACGCCTGCTTACGCGATGGTTAGGCGTGGCTACATCAGATTGAAAATGGAAATGGAGATTAGTAAGTTAAGTACCATTTAAGGTCTTCAGTCACCACGGACTCGCATTACTAAATCTGCAATTGGGTGGTTACTTTTCTTTATCATTTTGTTTAAAAGATGTCAGCACTTACTTACGATAGAAGTAAGCTTATGACTAATCTCAACTTGAGCGAAATTGTTTCCAGAGAGAATACACTTCTACTCTGTTACCTCGTATTGGCCTAATTGAGTATTTTGTGAATTTTAACTTAATTTGGTCATCAGTCTAAGGAGAGGGATGTATTGACGACAAACCAACTAATAAATCCAGTGATTTCTATTCCCTACCTAGGATGACGCGCCATGGAAACCTCATGCAGAGGCTCTCAGAGCTATTCTGACTCCAGATATCCCAAAATGATATTTATCATCGGTCCCCTGTCCATCAGTCCTCACTTTGTATCATCAATAAAATAGACTTTGCTACAGATTATATTTACAGTAAATATATCATAGTACATCGAAGGTGCAAGTTAAAGGTTAGGGCTATTTTGATTCTTTTTACTTTAGTTATTTATGCACAACTGTGGTAAAGTGAAAAATGAAATTGTATTTTTATTAATTTTATATTGTCGTAGCTATAATATTATATTTTAGATATGACGATTTATCAAATATATCAAGGATATAAAGATACAACTCTAGTCTTATCTTCAGATATTATGGTGATTACAAGTAATTAGTATCATATCAAATTAATCTGATTCAATGTGCTAAATGAAATTGAACAAAAACGCCACCGGAGTAAGTATTAGTCCGCACAATCAATCCTCTGAGGTACAAAAGCGTTAGATCAAGCATACATTGTAAACCTAGAAAATTGCATTAGCGTTCTATAATTACTGTACTTCTCCTGGACGATATTAATCTCTAATTAGGCCTAATTCCTCCATGTGTGATCTTTGAACAGTATTCCCTGTAGGATCCGCAAACAAAAACGCCGAGTCTTCTCAAATAGGAAAGTGTATTTAAATGGGGATGAAACCCCCAGTGAATGATGCACAAAATGACCGAACAAAGAAAATTGTATTAAAACGAGTATTCTGTTTGTAACGAAAGTAAATCAAATCAACTCGAGATACAAATGGAAGTAAATTCAATAATGTAAATTGAATTTAGATGAACTTTGATGGCACACACGGCGGTGACATATAGATGAAGGCAAGTTGTCTGAAAGTAGGACTTACAATTAATTAAGGTGGGCAGAGTTAGGACATTTTGGAACCTTGTTATGGAACAGTATCCTCATGACGTCAACACCTTAGCACCGTGCTTAGCCTATAACGTCAGCATCTAAGCTAATAAGTTCAGCATCAAGACCTCAGTTTTTAGTTTAGAATGCATTGTCGGAATACCAGGCCCGTTGCCGGGGGGGGGGTCGCAGAGTTCGGGCGACCTCCCCCCCCCGGCCAAAATTCTTTCAAAATCATGCAGTTTTTCACCAATTTGAGCTCCTCTCAAGTGATTTTAGGCATGTTTGGGCCAAAATTTTCAAATGTGAAATTTTTGAAAACTAAACCCCCCTTGGCAAATCCTGGCTACGGGCCTGAATACAATGGGCAATATTAGTTCACAAAAACGATAAGCTTTAGCTAAATGTTCTTCCGATCAAGGAGGTTGAGATTCCCATTTCGCCCCTTCCCATTTTGCCCCTTCCCATTTCGCCCCTTATTTGATCCCATTTCGCTTCTTCCCAATTGGCCCCTTTGCCATTTCGCCCCTTTCCCATTTTGCCCCTTTGCCATTTCACCCCTTTCCCGTGTTGCCCTCTTCCCATATCGCCCCTTTCCCTTATCGCCCCTTCCCATTTCGCCCCTTCTCATGTCGCCCCTTCTCTATTTCGCCCCTTTCCCATTTCGCCCCTTCCCATTTCGCTCCTTCCCATTTCGCCCCTTCCCATCTCGCCCCTTCCCATTTCGCCCCTCATTTATTCCCATTTCGCCCCTTCCCAATTGACTCCTTCCCATTTCGCCCCCCTCCCTTAAAAGGGGCGAAATGGGAAGGGGCGAAATGGGTAGGGGCGAAATGGGAAGGGGCGAAATGGGAATAAATGAGGGGCGAAATGGGAAGGAGCCAATTGGGAAGGGGCGAAATGGGAAGGGGCGAAGGGGGAATGAGGGGCATAATGGGACGGGGGCGAAATGCAAGAGGGACGAAATGGAAAAGTGGCAATTTGGGAAAGGGGCAAAATGGGAAGGGGCGAAATGGGAAGGGGCGAAATGGGAATAAATGAGGGGCGAAATGGGAAGGGGCAAAGTGGGAAGGGGCAAAATGGGAAGACACCGTCTAAAACTTCTTAAACCTTAAACGACGTATAAGAGAATTGGGTGTGAAGATACATGTAAGAAATGTAACGTTACTTTATTTTCTCCAAATTTCCACATTCTTATTCTACTTTTAAAGATTCATTTGGCACGCGTGTACTTGGCGCAATAGGTGCTGCGTGTATGGCATGAATGAATGGTACATGTACATCAATATGGGAACCTTCCTGGCAGATTATTCAATCGAAATTATGCATCTGTTGAAGACAAGATAGTTAAAAATATATGGTATGAAAGATATCTTGCAGGTTGCAACTGAAACAAAGGGACAGCTTCTGTTTTGGATGAAACGT